AAAAGGAAGTACTTCTTCACCCAAAGAGCGATTAACACATGGAATTCACTGCCACAGGAAGTGGTGGCGGCTACAAGCATGGACGGCTTCAAAAGGGAATTAGATAAGCATATGGAGCAGAGGTCCATCAGTGGCTATTAGTCACAAGGTATAGATAGGGACTCTGGGGCAAGTGATGCTCTGTCTTCTTGGTGCTTGGCAGGGGGGTCAACAGTGGGAGGGCTTCTAATGTCCTGGCCCGACTGGTGGACCTCCTAATGGCTCTGGTATTTCTGGCTACTGTGTGATACAGAGTGTTGGGCTGGATGGGCCCTTGGTCTGATCCAACACTGGCGTCTCTTATATTCATTCTTATGTTCTTATGGTAAAGGTAAAGGTTCCCTTGCTCGAAAGCCAGTCGAATCCGACTCTAGGGTTGCGGTGCTCATCTCTGTTTCAAAGCCGAAGAGCCAGCGCTGTCCGAAGACGTGGTCATGTGGCCGGCATGACTAAACACCAAGGCGCACGGAACGCTGTTACCTTCCCACCGGTGGTACCTATTTATCTACTTGCAATTTCTTGCTTTCGAACTGCTAGGTTGGCAGGAGCTGGACCTAGAGATGGGAGCTCACTCCATCATACGGCACTCAGGTCTCGAACTGCTGAACTACTGACCTTCCACAGCCTGCAGTTCAGCGTCTTAACCACTTGAGCCACCGCAGCTCCATGTTCTTATGACCCAACGCAAAAGCCTTGAGGATCCATGGGGATCCGTGCTTCGGAATGATGTTTGTGCAGCCTGTTGCCACGAAGCCGTGGATCCATGAATTCTGTGGAGCAAGTAGTGGCTATGGACATGTTATGGGATTTAATGGTATGTTTGGGATGTCCAAACACGCCCTTCTGTTCAGCCGTAATCCTAATTGTATTCTGCAAGCAAGGATGGAAAAATGGCTTAGTATTAACCGCCGCCCCCCCCCCCCAGCTGTCTTTTGTCGCTCGCTCTCTTCAGCGCAGTGCAACTTCCAGCCGCCCTCCACTAGGGAGCGCAACAACTCGGACAACCTGGGCGGCTCTGCCGCACGGACTCCTCAGAGAGTTTGCGTCACTGGAAAGCGCCGGGCGCGAAGGAAGCGCTCCGCCCCACAGTGAAGCTGCCGGGAAACGAAAGTGAAGTGTGGCGGAGAGGAGTTGGGAGGGCTCGGTCAGCCTTCGTCTCTCCGGGCCAGGCACGCTCCTGGCCGGCTTGAAGCCTTGCACTGCCCTCCTGCTTCTGTTGGTCTGAGGCACAGCCCCCTCCCCCCCCTCCCTCGTGAGTGCAGCCGGGCCCTCGGAGGTGGGGAGAGCGACCACGGGAGGGTCCCCTCGTCTCTGCCTTTCCTCACCCTCCCTGCCCGTCTTCCCGCTGCCTGTACCCCTCATAAGTGTTCTTTACTACCCCTTGATTCCTTTTCTTCATCGCAGGTCCTTGTACTTCTGTTCTTGCCTGGCTCGGGCCTTTCATGCCTCCCTAGTTCTCCGTCATTCTCGGTCCTTGATCTCCGTTTGTTTCGTTCGCCTTCCTTCGCATTTGTCCTTCCTGCTTTGTTCAAAGGGTATGGTCGTAGTTCAGTGGTGCAGTATCTGGTTTGTTTGCAGAAGGTCCCCGGCTCAGCGCTTGACGGCCCCAGTCAAAAAGATCGGATGTGAAAGATCGACCCTGGAGATCCACTCGCAGTCAGAGTAGATAATACTGATTTTCATAGACACATGATCTGACTCAGTATAAGGCAGCTTCATGTGAGCGTTGCTTAAGCTTCCAAGGCTCGAATTCTAGGCACCTTACCCAGGCAACAAATTCTGCTGAACTCAGTGATACTTAACCCTGAGCATACCTGCTAGATTCAGGCTGTCATTCTCCAGGTGTGCTCTTCTTTGTCTTCTGAAATACACTCTTGTTACCTTCCCACCATGTTTGCCTTTTCAGCATATATTTATATGCCTAAGAAATTCTCTGTACTGTTACCTTCCTTTATTGCTTGCTCTAGTGTTTCCCTTTAGTCTTTTTATGTTTCTAGCCCATTTCCATTTATTTTTTTCCTGTCAAGTTTATCCAGTTGGTTGTGTTGCTTTTAGCAGTAATCCATCCTGATGTGATAAACCTGAAAACAGTTATAGACCTGTCTTTTGTGAGGTGATTGCTCTCTTCCAGCCCCTGCTCTCTAAAAATATTTCCAACAGTAGTTGGCCTCTAAATTAAACGGTTGGCTTCCAAAAAAATCTGTTCTCCAGCAATGGCCCTGTGAATACCAATCCACTGAATGAAATTGAAGAACACTGCAATCATAACGACACTTTCCTGGGAGTAAGCACCACTGAATAACATGGAGCTAACATCTAAGCAGATGTGCTTAGAATGCTCACTCTCTTATGATAACTTCCTTTCCTTTTGGGAGGTTGAACATTGTATTGAGGACTTGGGACATCTTCAGAATAAAGTTTGAGACGTTCCAAGTTTGTTTTTAAATTGCAGGGGTCTTTATATAATTGAAAGCAAGTTCCTGAGTGAATAAACTCTTGGGCTCAGTGCCATCCTTGGGGGAAAATTGCACTGATTTTATAAGCTAAAAGTGTACCACAGAAGACGTCGTCTTGGAATATTACACTCTTCTGAGTTGGTTGGGGTTTGGTCACCTTATCATTGGGCAGTGCTGGAAAGCATGGTTTTAACCTGGAGACGTAAATAATATCGCTGTTTTGGGTCCTGAGATACATAGGAGCCGGCCTTGCTGGGAGGGCGGGGTAATAATCAAATAGGAGAAGGGAGAGCATATAAATTTTTAAAATAAATACATAAACTTTTAACTTTGATTTATTCGTGTTCTTGGTTTTATTACTGCTGCAAATAAACGCGATTGGTTTCACTTTCCTCAATAAGCACATACCTGTGTTTACTGGAAAGGAAGACAACGCTGAATGTAAGACACCCCCCTCCCCAGTGTTCTACACAAAAAGTTTTTTGTATTGGATGCAACTGTAACTTGTAGGCAATGTTAAGATGATCCCCTCTTTTTTATGACATCTGGGGGGAAAAACTAGTTTGCTTTCACACAACCTGAATAATGCATTTTCAGTCCACTTTCAGTGCACCTTGCAACAGGATTTTACTGTGTGAAATGGCTAAACCAACTTGCAAATGATTGTAGAATTGCGCTGAAAGTAGATCGAATGTGCATCATTCATCATGTATGAAAGCACTAATAATAGTCTTACATTTGAGTAAATACTGTACTGTAGTGCAATTCGTGTTTTCTTATTCTGAGGACATCCACACAGCACAGTAAATGTTATCTTTTCCTAATTCTCTAGTATTTCCAAATTAGCATTCTCTAGGAGTGGTACATATTACACAATCTTTGCATAGTCTGGATCTTTTAACCCTAATTATTTAACTGCACCAATATGTGCCCCATGCCAAAGTGTTGGTTAGCAGTTGTATTATCCAAATATAAAGGAACTCATATAGCCAGTTTTATTTGCATAATCAGGTTTGATTTATAGAATCAGAACCAGTCAGACATTCATTCTTCCTTTGCAGGTTTTTCAACAAAAAGTGCCTTCTAAACTGGTTTTATGTTTATGGTCCATAAGCCCCCCTCTTTTTTACTTTTCTGTGATCCTAAGCACAATAGCAGCCTGATCCAGACAGTCCATGTGCAATGGAAGTTAGTCCTACTGATATCAGACTTGTTCCCTTGTAATTTTACTTAGGATTGTGGCCTGAGTTATAACCAAATTCTGTTGAAATCAACAGGATCTTCAGAATTAAACATATTTATGACAAATGCACTAGAATGAAAAGGTAGCTCCTGTATATGCTCTGAACAAGTTACTTTCAAATTGATGAATGAAGACCCCATTCAGATTTTTTTTACACAGTGGGGTTGAAATTATGTCACCTTCCTGTTTTTCTTCCTTCATGTTTTAAATGAACAATCTTGCAACGGACAGATGAAAACCCAGACTTGGCTGTTGCATTGACTTAAAATGATACATATGTGTTGGAAACTGTTTACTTTTTATTTCCATGCTTGCAGAGAAAATGAAGCGAAGACAAGAACCTGAATACTGCAGCCCACAGAAGAGGCAGAAGAAAAGGATAGAGGAGCTGGGTCTGACCCTCAGCTCCACATCAGATGATGAAACTCAACTTAGTAATCATGCAGCTCAAGGTAAGATTAGAAATGGTGCTGAGAGTCAGAAAAATTCTCATTGGAGACTCCTTGTGATGGGTATCTGGAACTGTTTGTGTACTTCAGAAAAGGAGAGAAGGGTGGGTTTTTTCTGTTTTTGGTTGTTGTCTTTGACATAGATTCCGCTGATGTGGCAAGCCTGTGTTTGGGCAGTGCAGATTTCAGTTAACTCCATCTTCCATTCCTACACATAGAAAACTGGTACATCAGAGAGAAGGCTAAGCTAGAATCCTGCCTGCCTGCCTGCCATGAGTTGGGAGGGAGTTCTTTTGGTACAGGGAAGCATTCAGTGATGTGACCCTCCACCTGCATTCTGAAGTGGCGCCCACGCACACCATTTAGTGAGAACTAGGCCAGCAGATGTAGAAGGAAGCTTCATTGCTGTTGGGCACTGTACATGACTGTACATGTGATTTACTGTATCAAATGTCCTTGTGGGAAATTATATTTAGGTCAAACATCTAGACCTGTAAAAGTCAGAATATGTGAACACAGAAGCTGCATTAGATTGCATAAACGTTCTGCACCATTAGTAAATCATTTTCTGGTCTTGGGGCATATGGACAAACAGCTAAAATTTTGGATCATCGAGACTGTACAGACTACCAACCCGAACATGTGCAGAGTGCTCTTGAGAAGAGAGTTGTTTTGGATTTACCAACTACAAACATGGGCGCCCTTTGGATTGAATGAGGAAGTGGACTGGATGTGCTGTTTGTGAACATATGTAATAGTTAATTGTTTTCTGTCTATTCTGTAAGCTGACCTGTTTCCCCCCCCCCCCATGCTGCTCCTTATCTCCCTCTCCTTCATACCCCCTCCCATCTGGTACTTTTTCCTGGCTGGCATTGAGCAATGCTAATTTGTGATTGCATCACCCTGGTTTTACTGATATATATTGAAACCAGCGCAGCAGCTAAAAAATGGAATTTTAACTCTGATGGAGGGACACACATTCAGACCTACAAAATCGCTGTTACCAGGTTTGTTAGCCAATGTAATAACTTTGATTTCAATTTGGATGAAATTAAGTATACAATTTGACTAATTTTTTTTTTATAATTTCATTTCACTTTTTAATTTAGAATAAGTTGTGGTGGTGATAAGGCTATACCTATGGCCCATCACTAATACCAGGAGTCCAATTATAAGTAGACAAGGTAACTTTATCTTTAATAGAATCATTTTTTATTTAATAATGGTTTCTTTTATACATTTGGACAAAATAATGAAGTTGTTTCTCTCCCCCCCCCCTTTATTTTTCTTTGAACAATTTCAGGAAACAACATCTGGTTTAATTATATGGATACTAGAATTCTGTAACAGGTCTTTGAATGTGTGTCTAGAATATATAGATAATAGTGACCACTGAGGAAGGCCCTTAGGGGCCGAAACACGTTTGGTCTTCAGTTGTAAAGTTTTTACCCATCATTTGTATGTAGAGTGGACAAGCTTTTACAGTCTGATTTTAGACAAAGCAATTTTTAATCAGGAAAGTTTTAACATGTGTACACCTTAATAAATATTTGTACTTTTTCATATATATGGTTTAGCTTATAGCCCTGTTTGGTTCATAGTCATACCCTGGGTAGAGTCCCCCTCCCCTTTTTTCCAGTTTTTGGGCACTGTACATGATACATGTAAATCACATTTTTAATATGTGTTTTGCACAGTGCTTGTATGTTTTTCAGGCAGACACGTAATACTAAATAGGTTATCACAGGCTTGCAAGTTATTAATTTATAAAATCCATACAATTTTACTATCTCTCAGCTATCTCTATACTGATGGTATCCCCCCCCCCCAGCTCCAGTAGCTGATGACAGCTGGTGGGCTGGTTTTGACCTCTGTCCTAAACACCAAGGAGCTAATTTGTGGTGTTCTTTCAGTTATGTTAGAGTCAGATATTGCCCCCAGACTAGACTGCTGTGCTAACATGGTATCTGTGCATCCTTCTTCAAGGTACTCCAAAACATTTGATTCTCATTATGCTGTGGAGCTGAATACCCTTGATGTTGAAAACATAAGCCTGTCAACTTTTAATGGTTTGTGTCTAGCGTAGGCCTTCACACATTTTCTTTGGCTCTAGATGTCAGCTGAAAAATTTAGGAGCCAGACTCATTTTTCAGCCTCTCGTGGTTTATTGGCCAAGCCCGGTGTTTTACATTCACCTACAGAAGCAAATGATAGTTATTTGAAAGGAACTGATTTTCTTTGCTTATATATAGAGAGGTATACAGTTTATATATAAATTCTGTGGTTTATGTAACTAAGCAGATTATTATAAAGCTGATCTTGCAATTTATGACTGGATGAGAGGGATTAAAATTTTTTCCTTAATGAAGAATTCTTCACCAGCTCAGGTTCAGCTTCTTCATTTTTGGTGCAATAGCTTTTTCATATCAAGGAACAAAATCTTCTATTGCTTGAAAAAGACCGGGAAAAGAAGTTTTGTTTCTTGGAGAGATTAAAGATCTGTTGCATCATCTGAGCAAAGTCTTCACACAGGTCTTGCCAAAGGCAAGTGCTGTAGGAAGAACGCATTCCTTGTAGACCAAAGAGGTTTGATCTCATTCCATTTGTTCTTTGTATTACTGAGGTTATGTTGACAGAGCTATGCTTTGTGTGCTATTGACCTTGATGCCAATTTATATCTGAACTTAGTCACCTTGGGTCTGCAACCAACTTGCATTGGACATAAATGGGGTCAGAGATCAGCTGGTGGCACAGAAATTCCCTGCTGTTAATTTCTGTTAAAGAGAACTCATGAATACTGTGTAAGAGATGTAAGACTTCCAGAAATGTTGAAGCCTTGGTGTGTGTGTGTGTGAAACATATGCAATATTTATTTATCAAGCATAAACTTATTTTACTGCTTTAACACAGAATGCACCATTTATAATTTAGATTATAAAATTGTACTATTTTTGCATGTTTATAGAATTTGGTTTTATAAATGCCTTCATGTTCTACAAGCAAACTGAATATACCCACTACGAGAGAGAGACAGTGCTACAGACAGATATCTTAGCACTGGTATCTTACATTTTGAAAATAAAATATGTTATCTGCACAGAAACAGTCTTATATTCTCATATGATTGAATTCAGACTAAATTTTATACCAGCGGAACAGAACTTTCCTGCTTTTCCCTCTGCAGCCCACTCATCTCCATAGAATGCTGCTCCTGGGGGACAGGGGACCCTGCGGGTTGACATGAGGGTGTCTGGAGTGTGAAGGGGAAATTGTGAAAGTTACCAGTTTAGTCTGAATCCTACCCAGTATCATAAGGCTTGCAGCATATTTGAATATTAAGTTAAGCTTTATAACATTAAAAGCAATAAACCTTTCAATAATGTGTTTATATACATACAGCATATTATATATGCCAATTAATTACATTTAAGCAATAACTATATTAATGTTGTTCATTGCCTTCTTTGAATAACCAGAATCTTGTCTTTCACCGTGTAAAGAAAAATGGTTCCTTGTTCTGGGTTACAAAGTAAAATCTTTGGTTCAGGCTGCAAAGCGGCCTGTAGAAACTTTCCCAGAGACTGTTAGAGATAGCAGAGAGAGCGCTATGACCTTGCTAAAGTGTTTTCAGCTGTGGATGGTACCAAGCTACCAACTGCCCTTGGAGCTTTCAATGAGCACATTTCAAAGCAATTGAGCTACAGACACCTATGTGGGGGTGGACCGGACCTAGCTGCAGATAATTTCGTTTCCCCCCTTCTTGCTCTTGCACATCCCAGGACATCATGTGCCTAGTAACAGAGAGAGTTACATCATCTCTTGGGTTTCTGATTGGTTCAAAGGCCTAGGATTGATCAGAGACCTTTCCTATAAAGTTAGTTAACATTCGCACTATATGGTGGTGCCTGGAGACTATTTGACATGGCTTTGTCAATAGTCCCAGAGCAACCCAGTAATGGCATCCTGACTTGATTCCTGCCTGGACTGGTTGATTGTGTGAACATCTTGTTTTGCTGGAACTGACTGCCTTTGCAACCTGGAAAGGGTAACTGGAACTATGTTGTTATATGTTTAGCTATGATGGAGAAGCTTAGGTTTTGATTATTTTATCCCTTCACTGTTTGAGTCTTGTACTTAGATATTTTTGCACCTTAAATAAATAACTATATTTTACTCTGTCATGCGCTTTGCCTTCAATTACCTCAAAGCCTGATCCAAAAGCCTGGACTCTTGATTGCCTACCAGGTTAACTGTTTTGCCTTGGAAACTCAGGCTGCAGTCTCGCTGTGCAGGGCTGACTTCTCCTGTTTAGTTCCCTGAGAAGCCGGGAGGCTTGGTCTTTCTCTCCTGGGCTCTCATATGGGATAGATTGAAAGACCTGGTGGCAACCTACCAAGGCTTGGGTGAGTTTTAGACTCTCTCAGGTATTTTGTAATTTTGTTTTGCAACACTCTCCCCTTGAACCAAACGTTCCTGCCCCGGATGTTACTGGCACTTTTGACACACAGCATTTCACTAATTCATAAAAAGTTTTTTGTAGGAGGTCCGCCCCGCCAAGTGCTTGCCCAAAATATCTAGTTTTTTTCATTGGGAGGTTCCCCCCCCCCCATTGTTCCCCTGTCCAGGGCCTTCATACCTCTAATTCTGTGTGAAGTCAGGGTACCAGTGCCATCCAGGGAATAGGTAGTACAGATGATGATGCAATTTTTTTTTTTTTTTTAAATGAAGCCGAATCCAACTCATTCAACTCTGGGAGGCAAGCTTGAAGAGTCCTAGAGTTGGAAGGAGCCTTATAGGCCATCTAGTCCAACCTCCTGCTCAATGCAGGAAGTCCAAAGCTAGATTGTTCCTGGCACACGATAGTCCAACTTCTGCTTGAGGACCGAAACAAGTTAGGACCTTCCCTGCAGGCTTTTCATATTGAACTATCGTCATCAGAGTCTGCCTTGTAAACCACAACAGCTTTTATAATGGATGCTGTTGGTCATGGCAAGTTTGTAATGGAATGCCTTTGAGGGCCACCATTTTGTTCACTAACATTCATATCTGCCAGACATTTTCTCCTGGTCACTCAATGGCCTTCTTGTTAATTTGGATGCTTGTCTGTTTCCCATAGCAACTTGTGGAGTGTTGGAATAAATTTCCAGCCATCTATTGAGCTGTAAGTCTGTGAGGCTATTATTGTCACACATTGATTGAGAAACACTGATTCTTCTCTCTGTTCATTATCAGAGTCTTCCACTACAAGCAGCAGTGAATCTGACAGCGAGAGCAGTGAGAGGCGACCTGGCATTGGCGCCCTTGACAATAAGTTTGGAGAAGACTCTCTTGTGGAGGGCACAAGTTCCCGCTTCTCAATGTATAGCAGCGTATCCCAGAGGCTCATGGTAGGTCAGAGTTTCTGCAGGAACCCAACCCAGCTTTTGGTGCTGTCCACTGTGTCTGATTCCTTTGACTGTACCTGCTAGAATCCCAAAGATTTTTTTCAGTGTGGTTTTTTTTAAATTGGGGAACCGACAGTCTGCATGGTCATGATCATGTTGCAAACTAGAGAATGTTGCTTCAGTAGTTGTATTCTAGCTTTATTTTCAAGAATGGGGTTCTGTCTCTGACAGCTATGGATAGAAAGCTTTAAAAGACCAAGGAAATAGAGAGGTTATTTTGCATAGATGTTCAGTGGCCAGAAGATGGATTCACTGTGCATACCACCCAGTACTCCTTGTGGACACCAGTCCCTCCCTGATGACTCATGTTGCCCCATCAATATCACCTTACTTTCCCCCATACATTCACAAGCAGCAGGTATGGGGGAACAGGAAGTGGAGCCAAACAGGGGTGCTCAAGGTAGAAAAGCTAGGTGCCAGTATCACCTCCACAGGCATCCATGGTGTCAGTGCTCCTGGGTTCTCTGGGCTTTTTCTTTGTCTTTTCTTATTACAATCACCGAAAGTGGGTCTTTCAGTATGCTAACTATTTGAGAGAGAGGATTTCCTCCATCTTTCCCAGCTTTAATGTTGGCATTACAGGTAGGAGTATAGTGATCTTGGGCTAAACAAATCTGAATTACAGTTCTGTAACCCAGATATACGCTTTCCTTTGGAGCAAATGGAAGAATCTCATGCAACTGTTTATGTTCTCATTCTGTATCCTTCTTACTCCTTATACTCTGAACGCCTCTTATTGGCTCTAGGCTGTTGGAATTTCAAATGAATTCCTTGCTCAGTGGCTTTTTGAAATAGATTTAAATATAAATGGAACTCCCCAGTTTAGGCTGCTGAAGACATATTGCTGTTTGGCACCATGTGAATTCTTGTATAATAAATAAATATATGAATGAAATTACCTTTTTGAAATACAGAATATTTTGTTGTAGGTGAGTGTGGAAAATTTCAGTGAAGCATGATACAGGCTTTGGTTTTGTCAGAACCTCTGAGCTGACCTTTCAGAGATTACAAAAAGTAATCTTGCATTTATAATAACTTGTACCAAGCTTCCTGTGACTGAACAAACTGATTTTTCAGCTGTGTTATATGCAGGCTACAGCAATTGCCCCAAGCTAGGCAGAAAAGGTACAGATATAGTGATGCCCCTTGAGAACATGGGTGCAGTGCTTCTGCCCACCCTGCCCCTGCCCCTCCTGTGTTTTCACCTGGGGTTACTATCTTTTTCATCCCAGCAGCTGTTCACACCTGTGTAGCAGACAAAAAAAGATGCATCAGCTTGGAGATGCAGTGATGAGGAAATCATCACTCATTGAATTTAAGCACATCACAGAAATGTTAAAGATGCAGGATCCCCATCAGAAAAAAAAGGGGGCAACCCGACCTCATGGCTTACATAAGTACTGTGTTTGCATAAAGACTCTAGTTGTCTGTAGCGTAGTTCTTCTGAGTGAAGAACTTAAAAACCTATATGAGAGTAACTCAGGTCTTGGCACTATTTCTTTTTTTGTGCCACTGAGTCACAGATGCCTGCCTAACTTGCTTTAATCCTTTTTAATTAGTAATTGCTTTCCCATTGCAAGGTTTGCCAGTTTGGTGTAGTGGTTAAGTGTGCGGACTCTAATCTGGGAGAACCGGGTTTGATTCCCCACTCCTCCACTTGCACCTGACTGGATGACCTTGGGCAAGACATAGTTCTGATAAGAGCTGATCTTGAAAAAGAGCAGTTTCTGTCAAGAGCTCTCTCAGCCCCACCTACCTCACACGGTGTCTGTTGTGGGGAGGGGAAGGGAAAGGAGTTTGTAAGCCGCTCTGAGACACCTTTGGGTAGTGAAGGGCGGGGTATAAATCCAATCTTCTTCTTCTTACACAAGTTGCACTTAAAGCACAGTTCTGAGTGTGTGAGGAAGGGTTTCCTAAAGAGGCCAGGATAGTTGCTAGGAGACAGGCAAGTCCCTCCAAACTCCCTTTGTGTTGGTATGGATTTGTGTTGATTAGCTGAGGACTCAGGGTATCAGCCACCAACTAGGGCTGCCAAGTCTCGTTGAATCGCGGCGGGGGATCGTCATTCTTCACAGGAGCTCTGCCGCGGGGGATGGCAACAGGTGTTGCACCGCCGTCGCCAGGATGTGACGCTACGCGTCGCTCTGGCAACGGGGCTCCAAACAGCCCCATTGCCAGAGCGACGCGTAGCGTCACATCCTGGCGTCGGCGGTGCAATGCCTGTTGCCGTCCCCCGCGGCAGAGCTCCTGTGAAGAATGACGATCCCCCGCCGCGATTCAACGAGACTTGGCAGCCCTACCACCAACAGTTATATTACCAGAAGCTGAATCAGTTGTGTTCTTCCCATTGTATTGATTAATTGGTTCTATAAGCCAGCTAGGGCATAATCAGGAAATAGCCATCTTTCCTGTGTTGCCTAAGGTGACATGCAACAAATAAGGAAGAACATTAGAACCCAATGCACAATAAAAGCACAACTGCAAATTGCAGGTCACAAACACAAGAAAATTTCAGTTTATATACCAAACTGTGGTCATTAAAATATCACTTCCTAAAAACCTTGGCATGCATCTGTAGGAAGGCTATTGCAGAGAATGGGAATAAAAGAGGCCCAGCTCTTGCTCAGTGAAATGTCCACTGGGCCTTCAGGCTTCAGTTATTTTTGATTCTTCTGAGTTGCAGCTGAGGAATAGAGGTTCGTTCAGCTCCTCAAAAGCAAATCTTTACTACCTTTCCCTCTCACGTTACCATTTCTGTGATAACAAGATCTCTGTTAAGCAACTTTGTTTTGTGCAATATACAGCATGAAAAGTTTGCAAGAAAGTTTGTCTGCCATTATTGATCTGTTTCTCAATACCCCTGTTAAACTTCCAAGAATCCCAGGGTTCCCTGGAATACAATTTAAAATACATACTCTTACTGAAGGGTACTGGCAGACAGAATTCCCTCTATTTACTGCCTTGCCTGTGCATCTAAACTGCTCTAGGTTTCCTCTGAGAGAGAAAAGAGAGAGAGAGGAGAAAAAAGAGAGTACCTGAACATTTGTTGTTGTTATTCAGTCATACCATTGTGTCCGACTCTTTGTGACTGAAGAAGGAAATGGCAATCCACTCCAGTATCTTTGCCAAGAAAACCCCATGGACAGTAACAAAAGGCCTGAACATACTCTCTTTTGTTATAAGCTTCTGATGTCAACAGCCCAAAGTACTTATACATTAAAACATCTGGTGACTGTAGTGACAAATGACTCCTTGGCTCGCAGCAGTTTGCTCATTTGCAGTGTTACCTGTACACACAGTGGGTCTAGTTTCTGTAAATCTAGTTTTGTGATAAGTGGAATGAGCTTGACACGGAGTAAAGGAAATCTCCTGTGAGAGGCATTAAGTATACTCAATACTTTTTAATCCTTACAGTCCAAAGCTACATAATTGCCTCTCAGCCTAAGCATAGACAAAAGTGTGGACATTTGCTGCCAGATATTATCAAAATGCTTTTTGTGCATTGCCTTACAGGCCAAGATGGGATTTCGAGAAGGTGTCGGTCTTGGGAAGTACGGCCAAGGGAGCCAAGAGATCGTTGAGACCTCCCAGCAGAAAGGAAGAAGAGGCTTGGGGCTGACTCTGAAAGGCTTTGATGGAAACTTGACCATCAACTGGAAGGATGAGCCAGAGGTAGGAGCAGGGGGGTCTAGTATGGCCCTCTCCTGCTACTTGCTCCCGTGAGGCTGGTGACAGACCCTCAGTTTCAGAGTTAATGGCTGGGAAATCCATGTAGCTTCTGGCTTCAGATTCCCAGGGTGCTGGCTAAAATAAAAAACACTGGAAGTACAATATTTTGCTCTCTATGAATGTTAAAAACACACACTAATATTCTTTGAAATACTTATTTTGAATCCCCAAGGTACAGACTGTTCTGTCAGGTTTCCATACCTTAGGGAGTTCATCTTGTTGGAATGAATGGTCCTCAGTTCAGATCTTCCTTTCATGTGTTTGCAGGCTAGTGCTTATGAGCAAGTGGACTGGTTCCCAGAATGCACTACTGAAATTCCAGATGCTGAGGAAATGAAGGACTGGATGACAGTAGGAAAGGTATTTAGACTATGAAGTAAGGGAAAGAAATGTAAAGACACCACCAGATAAAATCCAAAGAGTGGGGATAGAGTCCTGAGGTGCTATGTGTGGATTGCTGCAGAAAACTTTAGCTTGGATCTTTTGCTTCCTTTCTACTCACAGTTGGCCCCTCTGCTTGCAGAAGAGATGGAGGGTGTCTCACTGCAATTCCCAACTTCAACCCTCATGATGTCCCTGAAGGGCTGATGACCCATGGGGTCACAATTTGAGAAGGGGGCTAGGCACCTATTTTGGGAAAGTTCATGTTTATGCCCCACAGCTCTGCTCATTGTGCAGATCCTAGTGTGTGCTGAATGCATTTCCCTAGGTAGAACTACAAAATAAAGTCAACATTGCTCAAAATAATATTAATATGATTGAGTAAATATGACTAAAATAAGAACATAAGAACATAAGAGAGGCCAATGTTGGATCAGGCCAAAGGCCCATCCAGTCCAACACTCTGTATCACACAGTGGCCAGAAATACCAGTGCCATCAGGAGGTCCACCAGTGGGGCCAGGACATTAGAAGCCATCCCACTGTTGACCCCCCCAAGCACCAAGATGACAGAGCATCACTTGCCCCAAAATGATATCCACTTTCTAAAAGCACTGCACTGGCTGCCTATAGCATACCGAATTTGGTTCAAGGTGCTAGTTCTTACCTTTAAATCCCTTTATGGTCAGGGGCCTACATACCTAAGAGACCACCTTTCCCCATATATACCCCAGAGAGCACTATGATTGGGGACCCCAAATTGTTTGGCCCTTCCGGGCCCCAGAGAAACCAGGCTGGCTGTGATGAGGGCCAGGGCCTTCTCTGTGGCAGCTCCATACCGGTGGAACAAGCTCCTGGAAGAAATCAGAGCCTTGCGGGACCTTTTACAGTTCCGCAAGGCCTGCAAGATGGAGCTCTTCCACCAGGCCTTCCATTAGTGAGCCGCTCTCCATAAACTGAGGCCCTCGCCCCAATATTAACAGCCTGTACCCACCGATATGACGCAGACTATGATATGTATGATTTGTCAGATGTTGCTAATGCTCGCTATCGCTCTACGATTCATACTAGCACTTTATGTTTTTATTTCTTATTTATTGTGATTTTATTCAACTGCCTGTTTTATCTGTTTAACTATCTTTGTGTAAGCCGCCTTGAACTTGCCCTGGCGGGGAGGGTGGGATAGAAATGAATTTAATTAATTAATTAATTATGTTAAAGCGTAAATAGGAAAGTCACCATGATTTTTGTAAGCTTTTATTTATTTATTTATTAAAACATTTACATCCTGCATTTCCTCTTGTTTCAAGACAGCTTACAATAATAGTTAAAACATTCCCAGCTAAAACCAAAGAATAAAATAGTTATCCCCAAATCCCTTCCCTCTCCCCTCCTTAAAAGATGCCCGCCATTGGTAAATCCCTGGCAAACAAGCAGCCCTCCAGTGCCTCCTGAAAAGCACTGTGGACAAGGCCCGGGCTAGCTGGTTGATGCCGGACGAGCCATTCTCTGAGTGGTGGGATAGACAACAAAGGGGTACCTAAAGACTGCAGCCGGCACACAGGGACATATGGAAGGAGACAGTTCTGCACATACGTGGGTCTCAGGTGTCATGAAGGGCTTTAAAGGTCATAACCAACACCTTGAATTGAACCTGGAAACAGACTGGCAGCCAATGTAGTTGTTTCAAAAAGGGCAGCATATGTTCCAGTGATTAGCTCCTGACATTTTAAGTGCCAAATTTTGTGGACCACAAAGAATTCCCCTTGTAATTTATTTGTTTATTATGTTTTACCTTGCCCTTCCTTCAAAGTGTGGTGTATGTAGTTCCTCTCCCCATTTTGTCTTCACACACCCTTGTGAGATAGCTGAGACTGAACTTGTGTGACTGACCCACGCTCGTCTAGTGAGTTTCATGGCCACAGGGGTTTAAATTTAAAAGCCCTCAACAATGTTTTGCAGTAATCTGGAAACTAATAGCCATCTTATTTAAAAATACCTGTAAAAGTAATAGCTCTTTGTCTTTTTCTAGAGTTAAAAGAAACTTTATCTGTACATGGCTGGGTTCAGAGGAATGTTTCATCTTCATTATCTTGTTGGGCTCTTCTTTCCTTGCCCAAATCTGTGTTAGATTACAGCACAGCTAAACTTCATCCATGTAACAAAACCTTGAATATTTTGCCAAGCTGATCAAAGCCACAGATCCTGCAATGATGCTCTCATTTTGTATAATGTTCTGTCAGTATTTGGCATAACATATTACAACTGTTACAGTTTGCAAAGCAGCAGTGCATAGCCAGAACTGTAAACAGCAGCAGAGAGCAAAAAATATTTCTTGGAAGCTGGCAGGTTTTTTTTCTTAATTATCTGCTGGCAGCTGCTGATGTTCTGTTGTGACACTTAGAACTGTTTATACAGAACTCACCTTCCGCCTTTTGCTTGAGCTGCAAATATGCCAGTTTTTGCTTCTGCTTTGGGGTATGAGGATCTGCTGCTGTTCTTGGATAGTCTGCTAAAAATCAAAGTTAAGATAGACCTATCCCCCCCCATTGACTTGCATGCTGTTACTTGTTTTTACTGAAAGGAATTATTGACCAGAACTTGCTTCTTGCATTTATCTTCCAGGTGTGAAGCTCAATGGACTCTTTTATGGAGAGCCATTGTGAGTCTAGGAACAATATGAACCCACTGGTGGTTTTCGGTATTGCAGCACATGGAGCCTCAGTTTCCAGTTTCCTGTATGGGTTGTCCATTAATGACCTTCCCCACAGGATTTTTTATTAGGTCTTCACTGCATTTTTAAGGGTGAATATTTGTGATGTAAAGAAATAGCTTGTGGCTGAAATGTTCTTCAAAATAGCCCCCCCAGCTCACTTATAGCAGCAGCTTCAGCACACACCTTTCTTTTTAAAAAAGCAATATTCTTGTTGGCTGAATGGTCCAACAAGTCCAGCATTAAGTAGCCACTATGTTCATTGTCTTCTTCCCCATATCTGGAGCTACAACAGTTCCCCTGCATTACATGGCTATTTCAATAAGCAAAAATGAAGTGAGTGGTGTTCACCCCACTCTGTTGCTGAACAGGTGAGCATTTTGACCTGTTTGCAGCCCTTTGTTCCTGTGTGTGCTTGAGCTGACATGTGTATACTAAGTACATGTCATTGTGAAAGAGGCCCAGTTTTCCAGTTGGGCCCAATTCCAACTGGGGAGCCAAGCTAAAGAAATGATCTTTGTTCTTCTACCTCTCAGATACTGTAAAGGAGCTGCAGGCTAATGTTCTAACATCATGTGTAAATAGTTGTTGAGGTGATATGGACACAAATCCTAGTTGGAAGAGAGCACTGAGATCTGATACATCTAAGAGACTTTTATTGAGCAGGATACTCACATAGTCAGAATAATATTGGGCACGTAAGTGGCATTGTATACTAAAATGTCCTCAGTAAATGGAAATGTTCCCAACAACTGTACACAGTTGTGCAATGGGTTAGCTTGACTGTTGGAAATTAGTGAGGTGAAGAAGCCAGGAAAACAGAAGGTTATATTATCTATGCTGGCATGGCTCTATACATGAAAGTCACCTAGGCTGGTCTCTAAGTCCCTAGGCAGCCAATAATATAAATGGGCCTCATAACTCCACCAATAATGACACTTGCAGTTCCAAGAGGGATGTTGGGGTCAGTGGGGGGACCTGAGTGAATGTCACACAATACAGGACTGAGCATAACAAGGAAATTGATGATGTACACGGCAGAGTGTGTTATTAAGCACCCATGGGGGGATTGTTGTGGCTCCAGATATGAGGAACAGAAGCAATATAAAGCAAAGTGTTTGATCTTTTTCAGGCTTGGGAACAAGAAGGAAATGCTGATGAGTTAAGTGGAAAGCCTTCTGACTGGATGGAAGTGTATCTAAAAGCATTCCCATAATGTCAGAAAATTTCCATATAAGGAAAGGAAGGGAAGACTTGGATCAAGAATGAGGTGTTCTAGAGGTGGTATTAATTATGTCAGCTGTGTGAAAGAGACCAATGCCACTGGGATCTTTCTTAGGTTGAAATGTACCAAGGACTGAGAGGAATTTTGCCAAGGCTACCTTGGTTGTGCTAGAATTCTTTGAATAAGGTTCTGAAAGCTTTCACTGTCTTAGTGGATCAGCTTCTCTCTGAGCTTCACTGTGCCAGTTGATGTCTGTCTGAGCTTATCAAGCTGCTTGTGAATATCTCAACTTGCCATCGTGACTGTAATGCTGTCAGGCTGGGTGTCCTCACTTCTGCCTGTTCTTCTGCCATCTTGCTTCCTTCCAGTCTGCAGTGGGCCCTGCATAAGTGGCAGGCACAGAATGGTCAATGTCACAAAATGGGTGTGTGTGATAAAGAGGCTAGCAAGATGGGTGCTCTTTTTGTGAATATGGGAGAGAACCCCTTCCATAGCTTAGAGAATCCGTGGATGGAGGAGAATTTGTCTTAGAGAAAGCAAGTTCTTTGGACACTTTTTAAAATCCTGGCCCACGCATAAGATGAAGCAAGCCCCAGATTAAAGAGGGCATGTGGCAAACCACTGTGGTGAAGTGGGTAAGACTGTGTTGACCTAGGACTAGGGAGACAGAAGTTCATATTCCTACTCACTGTGAAGCTCATTGGTTAATCTTGGGCCAATTAGTTTCATCTTAACTTTATTGACATATTTGATTTGAAGATAAAATGGGGAGTGGAGAATCATTCTTTGTCCTGAGCGCTTTGAAGGAAGGGCAAGATAAAAATGTAACAAATAATTCTTTTCTCTGTGGCTTTCTGCTCTGACAGCATCTGCAAGCTAGCATTTGCTAGCAAGTGTGAGAAGACCGCTTTGCATGTGAAACCCTTGGTCACAATCAGTTTTTTTTAGGGTGTTGATGGTTAAAGCAGAGTTTTCCTGCATACTTTGCAGGTCCTCTGTTCAGTCTAGTCCCAGTCCTCTGTTATGGTGCTCAGCACGTCCACACAGAGGACAGCCACCTTACAAATGATGCTGCATCTCTTTAAAAAAGTAATAATAGGCTGCTGCTTAAATTGGAGAAAACCCTTCTTTGTTGTGGCAGATGGTTGATGGCGTTACTTAAACCAGCCTCTTCTGTGTTGGACAGAGTGAATTGTGCCAGCACTGTGGGTAAACAGAGCCAGTGTGGTATAGGAGTGGACTGGAATTTGGGAGACCCAGGTTCACATTCCCATTCTGCCATGGGAGCTTGATGGGTGACCTTGGGCCAGTCACACACTCAGCCTAATCTACCTCACAGGGTTCTGTTGAGGAAAAAAATGGAGAAGAGGAGAGCAGTGTAAGCTCCTCTGGGTCTCCACTGGGGAGGAAGGTGGGGCATAAATGAAGTAAATAAACAAGGGAGTAGAGAGCTTCAGTCTGAGCAGGTGCTCTTCTCTCTGTTGGGTTTGCATCTGGCCTTATTGGAAGCCGAGGACTTGAGAGGCTGATGTTCTCTTTTTTACTTCTTGTGATTTGATTTCCAGGCATGGAGAGAAGTAACAGCGATACTTCCTTATTTTGCCACTCCTGATCCATGTGCCTTTGAGAAAGAATTTGTGAGGTTGATTCTCAATCTTGGATTCTTTTATTTGCAGTGCTCACCTGTGTGCTCTGGAAGGTGTCTTGGCTGTGAGCAGGGCAACAGGTTCAATTTGTTGATTCATGTCTTCTCCTTTTTGTAGAAGAAACTGGCGATTGAAGACGAAACAGAATTTTGTGGAGAAGAACTCCTGCACAATATGCTGCACTGCAAGGTGACTGTCCTCTGTTAGAGGGTGGAGACATAACCAAAGAGATATATCCTGCTAGAAGATGAGCCTTTCTTTTCTTGCTTACTGAAATAACAATCTGGCCCAGAAGAGACAACTTTGGCTTCCTTTGTGGTTGCACTCTCAAGTTTGTTGTAGCATGACTACATATTTGTTCTACTGCTACCTTAATTATAATTTTCATTGACCTTGTGTGATGGAATGATCAGACCATCTCTGTTTCTCATAACTAAGTGGCTGTCATTAGATGTACGCTAAGGGCAAAATATGTATGGAGCTTGAAAGCATCCTGTCCAGTTGTGTCTTGGAACAGGCTTGTCCCTTCTTTTTATAGAGCGTGTTTGATGAGCTGGGTGGAGAGGAGATGCGCCGAGCACGTACAAGATCCAACCCCTATGAGATGATCCGAGGAGCCTTCTTCCTAAACAGGTCAATGGAGGTTCTTTGGTTTGCAGCGCCCTTAAACCTGCGGAGACCAGGCTCCTAACAGGTGTCCATCTTACATTCACAGAGCTGCGATGAAGATGGCAAACATAGACTATGTTTTCGACTACATGTTTACAAATCCCAAGGATTCTCGTGGGGTGAGGGTCTCTCTATATTTCAAAATCACTGGTACCTTTGAATGGAGAAGTGGGTGGGGAAATCCTCACTTTTCCTTTTCAAAACATTGGTCCAGCAAGCAGGCATGTAACCTTAGGGGGTGTAACTGTTGGCTTTGATGGTGGGAGGCTTCTGTTGGGGTGCTTGACTCTCTTTCCTTCTCCTTTTGCAGAGGCCTCTGATCAAGGAACATGGTGCAGAACTCTTATACTTTGCTGATGTATGTGCTGGTCCTGGTGGCTTCTCAGAGTACGTCCTCTGGAGGAAGAAGTGGCATGCAAAGGGCTTTGGGATGACCTTAAAAGGACCAAATGACTTCAAAGTGGAGGATTTCTATGCTGCCTCCAGTGAGCTGTTTGAACCTTATTATGGTATGTCTGTCGAGCATGACCATGAAGCGTGTTCAAGCATAAGCATTAGAAAAGAATAAGAGTCCAGTAGCACCTTAAGGACTAACAACATCTGTGGTCTGGTATGAGCTTTTGGGAGTCACTGCTCACTTCTGCAGATATCTGAAGAAGTGAGCAGTGACTCACGGAAGTTCATACCCTACCACAAATTTTGTTGGTCTTTAAGGTGCTACTAGACACTTTGTCTGTCTGTAGCAGTAGAAAAGAGTAATACGACTACCCATCTTGACCAAGTATAAGTATGTATTTCATTTTTAGTGTGAGGTGAAAGACTTCTGAGTGTTGAATAGTAGTCTTATTACATCTGTGATGTTTTTGGGGACAAGCTGGAGGTATTTTAGATGTTGTCTTATAGTATGCCATAGGAGATTTGGTTGCCATTCTTGAGATTGTTCCTAGACAGGCAGGAACCAGACTTGTGACCACTTCATACCATTTCTATACTGCATAATGGATACTGTTCATCTGAAAACTGTCAAGAAGAAATATTAAGAAGCAGCACAACTTTACAGTTTTGAGGTCACAGAAGTGGCATGTATTTTACAAAACCATGGGCAGCCGGTTTTGGCTGGAGGAAGTTCTCCCCTCCTGAGGAGCCTTCCACTGACTTGTGGCTCTTCCATTGGGTGAGGAAGGCTGTTTAGGCTGGAGACGAGCTTGAGACTGCTTAGTAGAGTAGTAGACACAGACCGACATCTTAGACTGCTTTCTTTGCATTAAAGTGGTTTGGCTTCTAAAAATAAAAATGGTGGGAAATCTTTAGAAATTGTTCTGTGGCAAGTGACTGCAATGACATATTATGCCCATAGGTGAAGGAGGAGTTGAGGGAGATGGGGACATCACCCGTCCTGAAAACATCACAGCCTTCCAGAATTTTGTGCTGGACAACACAGATCGCAAGGGAGTGCACTTCTTGATGGCTGATGGGGTAGGTTCCTCCTATTTTTTCCTTTTGCATGCTGAGTCACTAAGACTTAACAATCTTGATTTGTGTGTGCTGTCACATTTCACTCACTATAAATATGGTGGTGCACTGAGCTTATTGTCAGCTATGCTGCCATGGGGGTTGGGGAGCTCAGTCTGTGTCTGGTTAATTGCTATTGCATTCCTTTCTATGCTTGTTCTGCTTTGCACTGAAACGCTTATCTTTACAGACGTGCAGGAGAGAGTTGTATTGTCTGGCTTTCTCCTAGGTACCGTGGGAGATTCTCAGCTTTAGCTACCTAACTGTCTTCATGCTTTATCCCGTGCGCGGGAGGGTGCCTAATTGGCCAGTGCTATGGGGGTGTGTGTGCATACGAATACCCTATATCCTATAATGCCCAAGGGGCCGCCGCCATTCTTAACAGTGCTTATGTTACTGCATCTATAGCTCTGCAATAAAAGTATTACCGTTCCTGAATGCGTGTACTTCGTTGTTGGCTGTGGGTTCTGACACTTATTGGAAAAAGAACATTAGTTTACTTTTGGAAATGTTATAGAATTTAGAATGCTGGATGGGCCGTTGCTCCATGGTAGAGCATCTGCTTGGCATGCAAAAAGTCCCAGTTGAATCCCTGGCATCTCCAATTAAGAAGGACCAGGCAGTAGGTGATATCAAAGACCTCTATGTGAGAACCTGGAGAGCTGCTGCCAGTCCGAGTAGATACTACTGATGGTCTGATGTGTGTGTGTTCATGTGTGACTACGACTTGGAAGACCCAGATCCGAATCCTTACTTTGCCATGGAAGCTTGTTGGGTGATCCTGTACCATTCACTCCTCTTCTTAGCCTCCTCTTCATTCACTCCTCTTCTTAGCCTAACCTCTACCTCTCAGTGTTGTGATGATAAAATGGTGGAGAGGAGAATGATGTTGTAAGCCTCTTTGTCCCCATTGAGGGGAAAAGCAAGGTATAAATATCTGAATAAATGAATATGTGGGATGAGGTCGTTTTTGTTTGCTAGGAGGTTAATTAATTGGTTTTATTAGCACTGAAATAAAAGAACCAATACCTTATATACAATTTTACATAGTACAGCTTTGTAAACGAGTTAGAAATGTCTTTGACTATTAGCAGTTTTCATGACCTCTAATTATTATACAGCTAATTCTTTTTTAGTTATTTATTTTAGGTACAGACCCTACATTTCTAATTAATGAAAAACTCTACTGAGCCTTTACAACTAACAAAACTGTAAACTTCAGTGGTTTTTTTAATGTGGTGCTGGTAGTGCTTTGTGAATGAAGGTTTAATGATAAGGTAAAATTAATTATTTGTTATACAGAATGCAGTACTGGGCAAATTTGCTCTAAAGACCATTGTTCATTTTATGTGTATTTCAGGGATTCTCTGTCGAGGGGCAGGAAAACATCCAAGAGATTCTAAGCAAACAGCTGACGCTTTGCCAGTTCCTCACAGGACTCTCTGTTATACGGACAGGTGACTACAGCACTTTCTTTTCCTCTTTCTTCATTGCGGCTTTATAGCTGGGTGTTCTAAAGCTTTTCCTATCTCATTCTGAGGTATCACCCTTGAAAATATTTTTTAAGAGATAAGATTCTCTAGTTCGCATGTTCTGGTCTCTTATATTTCTTTTAGCTGGCGTTCCTTCCAGTATTCCCTCTAAGCTCCACAGTGTTGTGAGCAAAAATTGTACCTTGTGAGCAAAAAAAGCTAGTAGTATTAAAGTTGTGAGCAAGTCTACATCACATAAATTAGGTTTTTAGAAGATTATTTCCATAACCTTGTAAAAATCTCAGAATGAATTCTTTTAAACTATATTTAAACTATATTTTAAGAGTAAGCTAAACATTATAAGAGAACACAGAATCAAGTCAAATTTCATTACAGAAAATGTCTTCTATGGGGGTAGATCAGGCCTCTGGAGAATGGTTTTACCTGCCCCTTTCGACTATGTTGGTAGACCTGGCCTCTGGAAAACAGGTCTACCCACCCAAATTCACTATATTGGTAGACTTACCCTCAGACTGTTGCCCTGTGCTGAACCTTAGAAAACATACCAGCACTTTGGGGGGGGGGGGGTCTTGCAGTTTAGTTTGGGGTGTTGTTGTTTTTTTAGTGAAATATGACAACCAGCATTACAGGTCAAGTATAATAGAGGAGGAACAATCACTGTCAGAACCCTGCCTAACCTAACAAACAGGAAGTTGTTTAAATGTTATCGACCTGCCAAACTACTTATTTATTCAAATATTTATATTCCACTTTTCCCTGTGACTCAAGGCAGCTTACAAATCGTACTGTTGTGCAAAAAGTTAATTTTTCCCGGCTCCAAGGGGTATACAAAAATATTGATTTTTTTCCTGCTCTATTATAGCCTATGGGGACTATTATAGTCAATGGGGCCCCATAGGCTATAATGGAGAGTTGATATGGGGGTATCTGGAGCTCAATGGGTGGGGGCTGTTTTTGGAGGTAGAGGCGTCAAATTTTCAGCATAGCTGCTGGTGCCTCTCCTCAAACCCTTCCCCCAGTTTCAAAAAGATTTATTTATTCAATTTATATCCCACCCTCCCCGCCAAGGCAGGCTCAGGGTGGCTTACATATAACTCCATATACATACAATTAAAACCAGTCATAAATAACATAAAGATAAAATGACATAACATTTCATTTAAAATGATCCTAAAGTGCTGAAACATGGTCTAATAAAGTGCAAGAGCAAAGGTTTCAGGTTAGTGATACTACTTAAGGTGATGGTACAGTCATGACGATATTCTCACCAGCTCGGTTTGTTTGACTGTATTTGTGCGGCAGGCACAGGATGTAGATGGTAGGCCAGGGCACGGGGACACTCCTTGGTGTTTGATGTTTGATTGGACCAGGGGGTTCAATTCTATGGACCCCAGAAGGAGTTGTCCCCATCCTCCATTGTTTCCAATGGAGGGGGGAAAGGCTTGTGTGCAGGAAGCTGAAACCTCTGAGCAGCCCACTAAAACTTTGTGCACCAGCATCCCCTAGCACAGCTTAGAGGGAACACTGGTTCCTTCCTAAATAGGAGCCAGATTGTCTACCTTGGTTGAACGATTGATTGAAAATATTTGAATGGTGTGGCTGGGGGGGGGGGGGTGACAAGGACTGTGGCTCAGTGGTAGAGTATCTACCTTGAATTCAGAAAATCCCCAGTTTCAATCCCCAGCATCTTCAGTTAGAAGGATTGGGTAGTAGATGGTGTGAAAAACCTCCATCGAACACTGGAGAGCTGCTGCCAGTCAAAGTAGGCAATAGTGACTTCCATAGACTGATAGTCTGACTCTTTGTAAGGCAGCTTCATGTGTTCATGTTTACTCTGCTTAAACTTCTGAAGTTTGGAGCTTCCAAGGTTGGAGCATTTGGTAATATTAAGCATATTATATTAAGCATATTACCCAGGTGACAAGTTCTACTGAACTTAATGGGACTTATTTTGAGAAAACCTATTTAGAGTCAAGCTGTCATTCTCCAGTCTTGCTCCTCTGGAATGTGCCCTTGTTACCTTCCACCCATGCTTGGTTCCCCAGCATTTTATTTGTGTGCCTCTGTGTTGTTACTCTCGTGTATTCTATTGTTTGCTGTACTGTTTTTCTATTTGTGTTTCTAGCCCCATGCTCACTCCCTTTCTCTTCCCATGTCCAGTTTGTCTAGTCGGGTGTGTTGCTTTTAGTAGTAACCCTTCCTGATGTGATAAACCTGAGAACCTGGACAACTGCTGATCTTCATACGACTCAGTATAAGGCAGCAGCATCTGCGCTGAAATTCCTCCTCGGCCACAGAGCTTGTTGCATGCATAACCTTGACAGGGGCCCATGTTCTCTGCCTAACCCTATGTCACATGTAGTTGTGGGAATGGGAGGTGGTAAACCCCAGTCCGTCCTATGTGTACCTTAGAAGAAGGGTGGCATATAGATTTGTTAAATAATAAATGCTGTGCCTCTTGCCTCATTCTTTGTGAGCTGCTAACTTCTGGGTTGTTTTTTTTAAAGGAGGGCATTTTGTCTGCAAAACCTTTGACCTCTTCACACCATTCAGTGTTGGCCTAGTATACTTGCTGTACTGCTGCTTTGAGCGTGTATCAATCTTCAAACCTGTGACGAGCCGTCCTGCCAATTCGGAGAGGTGAGACTGAGATGGGTCGAGATTGAAGTAGCTATTTCATTATTATAATTGTTGTTGTTGTTGTTCTTATTATTATTCACATTTTTAATTGCCCATCCCTGCTACTGCAGGCCTCTGGGTGATGCACAAAAATGAATGAGAACATAAAAACTGTACAGTGAAAATACAGCAGTACCAATAAATAAAGTTAAAACTCCAGGTGGCAAACTGAGATCACTCCCCATTCCAGACGGCCTGGCTACCTCATGGGCAGGGGAGGAAGAGGGATGACCGATCTGATAAAAGGATTTCTGTATCTGCAGGTCTTATACAAAGTCTGTGGCAAGAAACCTCTCTCGGAAGATAAGGAAGAACTGTTTTAAGGGCTAGAGGAGTAAAAAGTATTTGACAGGGCTGCAAGACTGCTGACTACCTAACCACTTTCTTTTTGTTTTGCTTTTTTAAATATCTTAACGCTTTCTTCTGTGAGTGGTTAGCAAAAGGGCTTTAATGCAATACAAGATTTAAAATTTGTTGCCTCATCAGATTGTAAATGGTCAGCAATGGCTTAGTATCAAGTGGAGGCAATTATTTTGTGTAGTGACAGACCCTGAGAAAAGCAGACAGATCTTTTATTTATTTCTATTCCACTTCTGTACCAACTGGGGACTCAAAGCAGCTCACAAAGAAACAAACATGATTTAGACAAACAACAAACCAGTGTATAGGACAACTCTTGTCCTTGTTAAATAATGGAAATTCCTGCAGTTCCTTGTTTTTACAGCCTTTTAAATAGTTTTAAGTATAATGCCCAAGCAGCATACCTTCCACCTTCACTGTAGTCATTGCCAAAGAAGGCCCACTCCACAATAAATCAAAGGGTCATCACCTTATGTGAGTAACTGGATTCTCTCTTGCCCTGCAGGTATGTGGTATGCAGAGGATTGAAGTCTGGCATTGATGAGGTGAAGGACTATCTTTTTTCAGTGAACCGGAAACTCAACCAGCTGCGCAACTCAGACCAGGATGTCAATCTTGTTGTCCCCCTGGAAGTAATCAAGGGTGACCATGAGTTCCATGATTACATGGTCCAGTCAAATGAGAGGTGAGTTCAAGAGCAATGAGAAGAAGCCAGGATCTGTACCTGGTGGTAGTGGTTAGTGGGGCTATAGTCATGTGGTTGTGGCAACCTTCTTGTGAGTGGCTTTTCCCAAGCAGCCCTCTCACAAGAGTCTTCTCTCAGAGGCCTTATGTTATAAATCTGTGTGCAAAAAAACACTGGTCAGTTAGGTAGTAAGTGACCTAGTTTCTTGTCAGTGTTTGAATTTGGAATACAGAATAGTCAAGTAACCCACAGGTTGTATTCCTTCCTTCTTCTCCCTTCGTCTTTCACTTCGTCTTCAGGTGATTGGCCTTGAGAAGGCTAATTGCTTTCTGTTTTTGCTATATGCTATGAATTAGTAGTAGTATAATCAAGTTATTGTAGAATTAACAAGCCCTTCTGTCATGACCCCTAGTGAGTTGCTACCTTCTTCTGCCACCACTCTGGACTTAGGGTCCCTTGGGAAGGCCCAGAGTACTCTCCCAAGCCCCAACCAAAATGCCCCCTTTTAAGCCAAGAAATATAGGCGTGATGACCGGGCAGAGAACATTAAACAAATGGTTTATTAATACAGTAATGGGGCAAGGAAAACAAGACAAGGTGCTTAAAATATATAACAGTGTCTAAAGGTAAAATAAAACAAATCTAACGTGGCTACCTATTTCTCTTAACTGGTTACTATTCAAGGCCCACAGCCTTTTATACCAGGCCTGTGGATGTACTCACTCTGACCCAAGTGAGGGATCTTTCTCTCAGACCAGACTGTCCCCTCAGTTTTAGCTCTGTGAGAGAGAAGACCGCAATAGAGAAAAGAACACAGTTCCACAGCCCACAAAGCTTAAGTCCCAATCTCCTCACACAATCCCTGGACACCGATTGGTTACAACCGTCGCTAAGCATTGTGGAGATTGTAGGCTGTCTGCTTTCCATTCCCACACAGGTCTCCTGGGCCTAGGCCTCTAGGCCTTGTCTCCCAGTCCTACAGAGAACATGACACCTTCTTACATTAAAATAATTTTATATAAATTATATAATCTTGGCTAGCTATTCATATTCTGTACATGCAGCAATACTAAAACTATAATTTTTTGGAACAGAGCCTGATTCCCCCCCAAAAGGTAGCTGTTTTTGAAACTGCTACTCTGAAGAAAGAATATAAATGACATGTTTCTTATTTCTCTGACAATGTTGTGATAGTGTAATCGGTTATAATGCACCAGGCACTGTGCCCCTTGGTGGTGGTGGTGGTGGTTATTATTATTATTACTATTATTATTAGGTCATCAAGTCAAGCTGACTTCCGGCAACCCCTAGTGGGGCTTGGAGGCAAGGGACATTCAGAGGTGGCTCGCCATTGTCTGCCTCTGCGTCATACTCTTGCCCTGCTTAGCTTCCAAGATCTGATGAGATTGGGCTTGCCTGGGCTGACTGGGTCAGGGTCCCTTCCTTGGTTATTTCTGATGTTGCTGTGGTTTGCATGTCCTTCAGATGGGCATGTCAAATCTTGATGGTAGATAAGACATTCTAAAATTGAGACTTGTTTTATCTTCCAGTTACTGTAATTCTCAGATCAAAGCACTAGCCAAAATCCGTGACTTTGTTCAAGACACGTGAGTATCTTTTTTTTTTTTTTTTTTTTTTAAGTGTGCTGCATTGGGCAAGGGCTGAATTCTGGGTATGCTGTTCTTCAAGGTGTTACAAAGTAATACTCACTGAGTAGAGCCTTCCTTTTGAAGGTGGTGGCTTAGTGGTAGATAACCTGCCTTGCCCGTAGAGGGTTCAGACTTCAACCTCATCATCTCCAGTTCAGAAGACCAGGGAGTGGGTGATGTGAAAGATCCTCCTGACCCGAGACCCTGGAGAGCTGCTGCCAGTCAGAGTAGACAGTCTGGAGCGTGTTAGATGGTCTGGTTCAGTATAAGGCGGCTGCATGAGTTCGTTTGATTTGCATCTTGCACATGTTCCCCAAAATTAGGCATGGGAGGGACTGGGTATAACAATGGCTTCATTCAACAGAAAGTGAGATGAGCTTAGTTGTTGAAATTAGTGGGGTCAAGTAAGTCATGACTAATATGCCACATTGATTTTGTTTTTCTTTTGATTGTGGTCAGTATATTTTGTGTTCAAATCGATAATGTGACATGCTGATACTCTTAAATTTGCAGCATGTCATTTGTTGTGGGATGGAGTCTTTTTAGAACATGAAAGCAATGCCTGTCTATGAGGAAGGGAACTCATTTGTGCAGAAAGTTTTGTGTAGAAATTGCTGTGTGAGTGGATTGTAAGAATCTGACATTGCAGGAGTAGTTCATGGACTGGGATTATGTTAGTGCTGCAACAGTTAACATTTTTTTAAAACTACTTCTAGGACCTTGAGTGAACCACGACAAGCTGACATCCGAAAAGAATGCCTCCGGCTCTGGGGGGTGAGTAGCTCTAAATAACAGAACTACACAGCATGTCTCTTGTACCTCCCTTTCATTTCTTCTACATGTAAGGCCTGATCCAGGTGAGGAGGTCTTGCATCCCAAGCAAGGGTAAAATATATTCCTTGTCAGAGTGGGTTGTCCTACCTGCAGAGATTGTGAGGCATGGTTGGGGCTCTGTATTTGGTTTAATCACTCTTCTGATTTCATTCTTGGAGTAGCCATTTGCTTGAAGTGCGTGGCTTAGATGATTTAGTTCATCGTTGAGAAACACATCCAATTATCATGTCGGATTACACAGGGAAGCCATTGAAATTCATAAACATAAACACAGTTTCAACAGGAAAGAAGAGAGTTTAAAAATAAATAGGGCATGGTTTCCAGTCCTGAAAAACACAAAATGCTCTACATCTTACAACAGCACTACAGATAAGATTAGAATTTCAACAGCCAATCCATATGCAAAAGAACCTCCTCAGGAAAGCTCCTCCATTAACACGTCATAGCCTGGGGAACTCCTACAAGATAATGACTCAGCCCTACCCCACCCTCCTGAGTAGATATAAATTACCTGTCTACCATTTTTTTTCTTCTCACCTTGACACAGAGAGTACTCCGTCTTTCTGTGTTATACCTCTGAGGATGCCAGTCACAGCTGCTGACGAAACGTCAGGTACTACAATGCCAAGACCACGGCCATACAGCCTGGAAAATCTACAACAACTAATTACCTCATATTGTAGAGATGGGCCGACTGATGGAAAGAGAGGAGTGTCTCTTTATGTCTCTTCTCCACAGTTATGAAGGAAAAATTCTCCTTGGCCTCCTTGCTTCCATATCCCCTCCCCCTGCAGTGACTCAGGCACTGGTTCATCCGCATCCAGGTTACCTGTTACATTTGGGGAAGGGATATTTACAAGGATGCCTGGCAAGGAATGTGAAACTATATTTTCCAGAGTACGCTTGGATGCCTTGCACACTGTCAAAACAGTGCCCTGAGTGATGTGGGTGTTCCCCCCTCTCCAATTTGATGTTTGAGACCCTTCCCTCCTTTTGTCCACTGGCCTGTTGGCTGCTACCACTACCTGTTTCAGCAACAAGTATGTTGGGTTGGCAGAAGGTGGGAAAAATTCTTTGGCTTGTATATGTACTTGAACCTAAAGGCGAATTTAAGGATGTGAAACTCATCTTGTATTGAAGGTGAGTAAAATTAAACTAGAAGTATTAAGTCAGAATAAAAGGGAGTGATACAATATACGCATAATTACACAGTCTCCAAACAGTGAGTAGTTTCACTCTCCAGAGAACATCGTGGACATTTTGAACTCTTTAGAGAGACTCCATTGTAGGCCCTAGCCAAACTTTTTATAATCGTTTTGTGAAACTACCTTGTAGATGGTGCCAGATGCTGCGATGGGCTTCACCACTGAGAGTTTAGAAAAAGAAAACTGGTTCAGCTGCAACTTGTTTTCCCTGCTTGATCCTTCTTGGATTGTGTGGATTTTAATGGCATTATATTTTATAGGCTAATCATGTACTGCATGGGAAAAAAGTATTTTATTTCTGAGAAAAGGAACTGATGTTTCCATTATGCACATTTAAGTGAATTGCCAGAGCTGGCTGGACATTTTACAGACATGTACAAAAGCTGCACAGGTAGCTTGTAATAATGCTTGAAAACCCCCACTACTTTTTCTTGAGTTGCTTGTGGGATTCTGTCATTCATGAAGAAGGAAGAGTGGGAGGACAAAAATAATGGGAAACCTCATGGTACTAGGAAATTTCGATCGGACAATAGCCTCAGGGCAAAGTCAAACTCATGAGCTTTGTTCTTTCTAATTATCTTTTAACTTGAGTTTGCATTTTCTGTTTCTATATGTGCCATTTGTCCATGCATGGTGCTAACAGCAAAAGATAAGGCTTGATAGAAAGTGAGAGCCAGATCCATCTGGATTAATCAGGTTTTTGGTTGCTTTAGATTCCAGACCAGGCCCGCGTTGCTCCATCTTCTTCTGATCTCAAGTCCAAGTTCTTTGAATTGACTCAGGTGAGACTTTTCACTCAGACAGAATGCATGCCCCCTTCTCGGGGAACCATAAAAACCAAAGATGCAAGCACACTACTTGGACTTTATCTCAGCAACAGGTTGTCCACTAAAGGTACACTCTGATATTGTGATGAAGTATGTGAGTGTGCTCCCTAAATCCTTTTCTTTTACCTCCTATCTGAAAGAATGAGCATTACAGAAAGCTTTGTTATGCTAGCATTGCTTCTTAAGTAGTTAAAATGTCAACTAGCCACTGAGGTGTGAAAGTGGTACTCCCTCAGTGCCTAGAGTTCTGGAGCAGTTTATGTGTGAGAACCAATGGAGTGGTTAGGGTGTTGTCCTAGGATCTGGAATGACCCCAGTTTGAGTCAGTCAGTCAATCTTTATTATGGCCCACAATCCATACAGAAACAGAACAATGTTAATTAGTTACCTGAAATCATACTGTATATAAATCCTCCTAGTACATGAGACAATGAAAAGGGTTAGAGGTTATGAATGAGCAGAGGACAAAAACTTAGCTACTTATAGAGTGGGTCAACCCCAGCCAATAACATTTTAAGACTCTTTGCTCAGGAAACAGTTTTTTATCTGCCCAAACAAGTTCCAGTAAATCCAGGCACGATTGACTATAAAATCTACTATAAAATAATTCAATCAAATTATCAGAGCAGGGACAAAAGCTATAAGTTGCTGAGGTATTTTTATATCTTCCTGTCATCAATGCACATGGTAAAACATTAAATCTATCCAGCATAAAAGCATGGCAATATCTTGGAATGGTTAATATTGATAAATAACATGCATATTGATAATGGAATCACTGGAGCTAAATTGAATAAGAGAGGAGAACACACTTTGCGGGCTTCAGCCAGTGTTTCTTGATAATCAATATCCTTTATTCAGTCATTAATTACTAAAATAGCTGTACTTGGCCCTATAGATTTTAAAAAGAAAGGGAAAACACCCAGTGTGGTTAACTTCTCATCTATTGGTTTAAGCCACATTTGATTATGACGATCAGTCATTAAGGTATAAGAAAAGCTATGCTGATTACTCATAAACTCATAAATTGAATTCTAAATTTAAATGCTGCTAGCCAGACCAAATTTATAAGTGATATAGAACTAATTTCTAATTTAAAAGCCATGGAGAGTGCACATCTAGGAGATCTAAAAATTGTTCTCAGAAATTTAAGTTGAATTGGTTCAATAGAAGATACAACCGCTTGTACACAAACCAGTGCTGCATATAAAAACTGATTTATAATCCTGGTAGCAAATAACTGAAGTGTGGCAGGAATACTGTGTGCTCCTACCATTAAAAAAAGAATTTTAAAATTGCTCCAATCTCCTTACTGGCCTTACCTAGGGTTGATAGAGTTCTATATGCGATTTCCAACATAATTTATCATAAAAAATAAGCCCTAAGTATTTATTGGACTGAACTTGGTCACTCTTCTATTTTCCAATTAATAAGTTGATGAGGGGCAGTTCCAAAGGAGATGATTTCGGTTTTATCAATATTTATAATAATTTTATTTTCAGAACAATACCATAATAATGCCTGCAAAGCTTTCTTCAATCTTACCTTTATTAATGAAATAATTATCATATAATGTGTATATTATAATGTAGAAATTATTTCATTACCCAGCTTATGAGAATATAAATTCTCTGCTTGAAAAATTTGAATTACATCAATTAAATACAAATTAAATCGCAGAGGAGCCAGTACACAACCCTGCCATACTCCTTTACACATAAGAATGTCAAAAGTCAGATGACCAAAATAATTACAACATAACTTGCATTTTTGCATTATAATGAAGTAACTTAAGTAAAAAGCAATAGCCTAGAATCTCTGTTATGTTTGTGGAGTTTAAACCACAGTTTCCCACATATCTTGTCTAATGCAGCCTGAAAACTGATAGAAGCCACTTGCAAGGGCACCTCCGTGGTCTTTAACATGTAGAGGTTATCAGTAGCTGGTCTTCCCTTCCTGAATCTTGATTACTCTTGATTTACTATAGATAGAGAGTCAGTCTATTCTGATAGAAGCCCAAGTACATATAATACATAAAGTTTCCTTTTAATTGATGATATGGGTCTATAATTACAGGGGTTATCTTTTGAACCTCTTTTATAAATAGGAATAGCAATAGATTTCTGCCAGGCAATAAGCATTAGTTCTGAAGAATTTATTAACGAGAATAAATGGGCAACTAAAGGAATCCATTTGTCTTTTTAAAACATTAGCATATGTGCAGGAAAATAGCCACCTCTCAGAGAGAGCTTTGTTAGTTTTTAACCTTACAATTAATTTTTCTATATGGGTTGTCTTGAGACTGGGGGTTGTAGCAGATCTGCAGTTATAGCAGTTGCAGCAGATCTAATGTCTTCCATTGCAGTTGAAAAGAGAGCTGTCAAATGTTGTTCTCACTCTAAAGCTGTGATGTGTTAATTTAATGGGGAGTAAGGTATAGCTCACCATGACCTGACCTGGATAACCCCAGCTAGCAGGACCAGATGCTAAGCAGGGTCAGCCCACTAAAGAAGTCTCTAGTTGCTACGTAGAAGCAGGCAGTAGCAAAAAACCTCTGAATGTCTCTTGCCTTGAAAACCCTATGGGGTTGCCATAAGTTGGCTGTGACTTAATGGCATCCCCCAAAAAAGATGTAGCATATCCATCACAACCTCTCAGAATCTTTTTGTCTCGCTGCATATATTAACCTCTTGCAACTTGATCTCATATCTCTAATATTATGACTTTCTAATTTCTGCCTTCAGTTATTGTTTAATCATGTAATACTCTTTAGGAATTATCTCAATTCTCTGGTTCTATAATCTTGATGATTCAGGTTTAGATCATCAAGGTAGCCTTGGGTCAGTCACTCTTTCTCAGCCTCGTCTACAACACAGAGTTGTTGTGTGGATAAAATGGAGGAGAGCAGAATGATGTAAGTTGGTTTGGATCCCCACTGGAGAGAAAAGTGGGGCATAAACGAAGTAAATAAAATTAATGCCAGTTGATGTAGTGGACCTGTGTATAGTATCACCATTCTCTCTCCTCCTTACTTGTTTCAGGGTGATGACATAGAAGTTTTCAGTTACAAACCAACCCTTCTCAACTCAAAAACCTTGGATAAGCTCCGGTCAGTGCTGGATTACAGATGTATGGTCTCAGGAAGTGAACAGAAATTCCTTCTAGGCCTAGGGGTAAGTGGTGATAACCCTTAATCCATTTCAGTTTGGCTTCAGGTCAGGAATTGAGATTGAATCAGCATTACTGGCTTAGGGGATGATCAACAACTGTAGTTGGATAAGGGCAATCCATTACTGCTGATCGTTAGATCTGCCAACAGCTTTTGGTACAGTTGACTGTATTTTGGTGGATAAGCTGCCTTTGAGGTTAAAGAGACAGCCCTCCATTCATTTCTCCCTGTTAATTTCTTCCCTCTTTTTTGCTGGCAGCAAGCACCGTTTCAGTGGGAGAGACAAAATAAGCTAATTGGAATCTGATGTATGTATGTAAAACCTTTGACATAGATCATCAGGAGCTTTGGAGTGGCTTGTCACCAATATGTGTGTGAGACCCAACTTTATGTATCACTGTCCAAACCTCCATAAGCAGCTTTGTGAAGATCCAGGCCAGTGACTTTAGGCTGTGGTTAGCAAACTGAAGCTTAATCCAAACAAGGCAGAGTTGATGCCAGTTGGGACAGCGGAGTGTTTGGCTGGTGTTGATTCACCAAACCTGGGCGGGGTTAAGATTTCTTTGGTAGAACAAATTAAGAGGTTGAGTGTTTTCTTGGACCTGGCCCTGCTGATGGATAAGCCGGGTGTTGCTAAGACAGCCTTCTTTCACTTACACCTTGTTCTCAAGCTGTCCTCTTGTTTAGAATCTGCAGACCTAGCCATGCTGATCCATGATCCGGTAATGTGCTCCCTGTGGGGTCTGCCTTTGAAGAAAGCTCAGAAGCTTCAGTTGATACAGAATGCAGTGGCAGGACTCCTGCAGCTGCTGGGGATGTCTCACTCCAGTGTTGCATTAATTGCACTGGCTACCTACCGGTTATTATTTTTAAAGCCTTCATGGCCTAGGCCCTCATACTTATTGAACCACATGTTCCGGTATGTTCCCACATGCCAGTTGTGTTCCTCAGACAGCATTCTCATTGTGGTGCCTGCTCTTAGGGCTGTCCATACGGCAAAGGCTGGGTCAGAGGCTTTCTCTGCAGTAAGTCTTGTCCTCTGAAATGGCCTGCCAGAGTGGATACGGAGGGTGCCTTCACTGGGTACATTTAGGAAGGCATGCAGGATGGTTCTGTGTCAGAGGGCATTTCGAGGGGAGTGAACTCTTTCAGCAGATCTAGCTCTTTGTTTTCAAACCTGTATGTTTTATCTTTTAATGGGCTTCATGTCCTTGCAAGTTGTTGTTTTGTTAGCTGCCTTGAGTCAAAGGAAATAAGAAAGGATATAAATATTTTAAATAATAAATAAAGAATGTATCCATGACTTCCAGTATGTAGAAAAAACATCTGTTAAGCACTGTAAGATCTTTTATAATTCCATTTTAGATCCTAATTGCTGTAGTTTATACTCTGGAAAAGGCAGATTAAAATTTCTGAGTGATGGTATCATGGTTGTTGGTTGATCTGTGGGCCTCTTTTGCCAACCTCTCTCTGATAATGTTTCAAGCTAAGTACAGCCTGTTCAATTCTGTCATTCCGATGATTTGTTTCCCTTTTGGGAGTATGTCATGAGAATGGGAGAAAAGCTTGCTAAACAAGCGGAAAAGTTCTGTGTTTGTTCCTCAGACAGCAGGTGTGGTTCTTTTTCAATGCTTCATAATAAATTTCAGCCCCCTGTGGAAACGTCTCTGTGTGGAGTCCTAGAACTAGTGGCATTCAAGAGTGTGTGACTTCCTCTGTGTGAACTTCTTTGATTATTAACCTGGCTGCCTTCCTGTTCACTCCCATGCAGAAGTCTCAGATATATACTTGGGATGGTCGCCCATCAAATCGCTGGACAAAATTGGACTTGAAAACTGAATTGCCAAGGGACACCCTTCTGTCTGTGGAGATTGTTCATGAGCTAAAAGGAGAGGTCAGAGATTGCTTTTCCTCCAGGAGGCTAATGTCATCCACTAGCTGTTTAGTTCATTTGACTTGTGGGAGGAGGGGCCTTTCAGGTTGGGGCTTCTGATAAGTGTGGTGGTGTTTAAGTTCCTTTCATGATTTGGACTGCTCCAAGTTGCAAATAATATCAGATGTCAGTTTCCTTTCTATTGATTTTCTCTGCCTCCTCTGTAGTTGCCTGATAATCAGAATGTTCTTCAAAATACATGTTCGTGTAACCCCATGCTGCTGTCATTACTCTCCTTTAGGTGAAGACTGAGCCATAGTTTGCTTATTGTGGAACAAAAGTTGCTTTAAGATTATCAGCCACATGGTCACTTAGGAACAAATCTGTTTTCTTTGTATAAGTTGTTACACTATGATTGAATCATATGATTCCTCCATAGCTTGTGATCCTGAGCATTTAAAGACAAGGGTAGAGCTGCACGGTCTGTCCAGAATGCTTTCAGGAAACATTTGTAGACCAGGATAGAGGAACATAAGAAGTAGTAAAATAATGAACAGCATAAAGAATCTGTAAATATTAAAGGCCAGGTAATGCTGTGGAATCGATTGACTGTAAGTTTGGGATCAGTGCAGTGCAATGCTTAATTTTTAAAACATTGCTCCTACAGGATATGGTAATGACCACTAGCAAAAATTGCTTTCAAAAGAATTGAACAGGTCTTTCAATGGCTGTCAATTAAGAATGGAATTTCTGTGTTGTGAGGCAATAGATCTCTGAATACCAGCTCCCAAGGCTCTCTCCATCACAACCTGCTCATGAGCTTAACTGGGGAATCTTACTGGTCACTGTTAAGAGGCTGAAAGATGGACCTCTGCTCTAGTCCCACCAGCACTTCTTGAGTATAATTCACCTAATTCAGAGGTTTCCAGACTTTTTCTGAGGACATACTGATAGAATTTTGCCAGTCTTCATGAACCATTGGTGGCCTGCAATATTGCTTGGTTAATCCTCTACAAAGATGTCTGGGGCCGGCAGTTTACTCCGTGGTTTGGAAATGACTGAAACCATCAGAGAAGTGAACACTAGTGCTGAAGACAGCCTGTGTATATCCACATTTAGTGTCATTCATAGAAGGAAGTATATGCAGGGAGGAAACATGCCATGCTTTATTATATGCCTCTTTTTTTCTCTCCGTAGGGGAAAGCACAGCGGAGAATTAGTGCCGTCCACATTCTGGATGCCCTAGTGCTGAATGGCACTGATGTCCGACAACAACATTTCAATCAGCGGTAAGTAGAGCTTGGAGATGTCCTTGGCTGTATATTGATAAAAGCAGTTGGGAACCTTTTTAATTTGGAGCTCACACTGTTTGACTACCCCAGTTAGACTTTGGAAGACTTTATTATTTATTTGAAACATTTGTGTATCTCCTTTCTACCCAAATGGGGTCCCTGAGGCAGCAAACATAAAAACATTAGAACATTCCAACATTAAAACGAAGTGTATATAAAATTTTAAAACTGAGTTAAAATTTATTAACAAGCATACATAATACAACAAGGAAAGATGGCCTGTAACAGTTATTGAGGCAAGTCAAACAAAAGAAAAAAGTCTTCGCCTGCTGGGGGAAGACAATGATTGAAGGAAGACAGGGAGGGTGTTCCAAAGATTTTCACGCTGCACCCAAGAAGGCTGTTTCTTGGGTTGCCACCTGTCTGGCCTCTTGATTGTAGGGGCACCCAAAGCAGGGCCTCCAAAGATGACTGGAGTGGACAAGTAGGTTCCTATGAGAGAATCTGGTCCTTAAGATATACTGGCTTCAGGACTCATTGGATTTTAAAGGTCAATACCAGCACCTTGAATTGGGCCCAGAAGCAAACTGGGAGCCAGTGCAGGTGGAATAAGCCAGGTGAGATATGGTCCCTAGGACTCACTCCTGTGAACATTCTGGTTGCAGCATTCTGTACCAACTGCAGTTGCCCAATATTCTTCAAGGACAGCCCTATGTAGAGCACATAGCAGTAGTCTAATCTGCATGTTACTAGGGTGTGATCATTCCTGCCCAGGAATAGCTGCATCTGGCTCACCAATCAAAGCTGGTAAAAGGTACTCCTTGCCACCACAGCTACCTGTTCATCCAACAGGAATCCTTGGTCCAGTGGCATCCCAAGCTGCAAACATGCTTCTTTAGCATGAATGCAGCCCTATCCAGAACAGTAGCACCTACATTTTGTTAGCATTAAGTTTCAGTTTCTTAGCCCTCATCCATTCCAAAACTGCCTCCAGGCTCCTGTTCAGTTTCCCCAGCTTCCTTGAGATTTGCTGGAAGCACAGAACTGAGCTTGGTGTCACCTGCATCTTGGTGGCTGCTTAGCCCAAATCTCCAGATAATGTCTCCCAGCAGCTTTCTATAGTTGTTGAAAAGCATGGGGGACAAAATAGAGCCTTGTGGGACCTGTAGGTCAGGAGGTGGAGCAGCTGTCCCCCCAAACCTTCCTCCAAAGTAAGACTGAAACCACCACAGAACAGTGCCTCCAAGTCCCAAACACACAAGGTGGACTAGAGTGATACCATGATTGATGGTACGGGCAGCTGGTGAGAGGTCCAGGAGAATTAACAGGGTCGTACTTCCCCCGTCCATCTCCCATTACAGGTCATCTGTCAGGACGACCAAGGCTGCTTGAGTCCCATGACCAGGCCTGAAACCAGTTTGGAGTGGATCCAAACAATCCATTTAATTCAGGAATTGCTGAAGCAGCGCAGTCACCACCTTGCTCAAGAATGGTACATTTGAGGCTAAACAGTAACCATCCAGCTCTCTGGGTTCTAGAGTAGGCTTTTTTAGGAGTAGATGCAGCACTGCCCAGTTCAAGGTATGGAGGACCACCCCCTCTCTTAGGGAGGCGTTTACTGTCGCCTGGACCCAATCTGCCAGCCCCCTCCCCCGCCACATTTTTGAAAAAAGAAGAGTAGTAATCCAGCCTCTGCATAGGGTGCACCTCAGAGAAGCCTGTGGCAGAGACGACCACCCCATTAGTTTGGAGTCATTCAAACCTAAAATGGGCCTAGAGCAGACACAAAAGCACCAGAAAGGAACTTATTAAATAGGCCTCAGATGCACGTCTCCTTGTGTTTCTCCTCACTTCGTGCCCAGTTTGTCTGTGCATCCTTCCTTAGATGTGCTGTTCCCAGAATTCTGACTATACTGCTGCAAACTGAAAAGCTTCAGAGGGGGTTTATATGGAGCTGTTTTCTTGGCATTTGTGCTTCTCTTTTTGTGAACTATTTCTAGTTGCCTGCTGACCTTGTACCTAAACTGCACAACTCTTTTCCTTTGGTTCTAGAATTCAGTTAGCAGAGAAGTTTGTAAAAGCGGTCTCTAAACCTAGCCGGCCAGATATGAACCCCATCAGGTGAGTGAGGCTGCTTGGATTCTTGCAGCTGTCTGAGATGGTGATGCATAAATACGTGGCGGTGGGCAGTGGAGCTATGATCAACTAGCATATTAATTGTGTGTTAGAAATGCAAGAGTTACCTGTGGGGAGATAGGGCTTTTTCTCTGAGAAACCTTCTCTGAGAAAACTTTTTCTGATCAGTCCGTAGGTGAGGACATTAGGTTCAAAATGACCTGGATAGAAAAACTGTTGGTCAAGCATATTCTACCTCTGTGGGTCTCCATCTTTTCCTGTGGGCTCAGTGGAAGGATGGCAGGGCCAGGGCAGGACAAAGCAGTTTTTTGAGCATTGAGAGTCACCCTGGAAGCACACCACATAGAATACCCATGTAATATAGCAGCTTTCATCTTTTCCCCCCTTCTTTGGGAGTAACAAATTTAATTTGAATGAACGTGCTGGTCAGCAGCACATTTTTATTTATTAATTTTTTGTGCCACTTCTTGCCACCAGGTGGTCTTGAGGCAGCTAAAAGTTAAAATGTAAAAAAACCTCAGTTTAAAAACATAATCCAGATAAAACTAAAAAGCAGCCCATATACATCAAGCCCAACTAACTAAAAGCCAAGTGGAAGAGCTCTGTTTCGCAGGTCCTGCAGAACTTTAGATAAATCCTGCCAGGCCTGCATGTCATTTGACAGCTGGTTCCACCAGGACAGAGCCGCCACCACAAAGAAGGCCCTCATCCTGGTGGATGCCAGGCGAATGTCCCAGGGGCCAGGCACCACAAGCAGGTTGCGAGATGAAGCGCACAAGTTTTTTTGGGGGGACATGTTAGAAAAGGTGGTCCACCAGGTATGAAGGTCCCAGACCATTTAGGGCTTTAAAGGTAATCACCAGCACCTTGAATTTGATCCGGAACTCACTTGGCAGCCAGTGTAGCTGTTCCAAGCCAGGACAGGACAGATAGGATCTCTCCAAGGAGAGCTTATCAGCAATCTTGCTGCTGTGTTTTGGACTGCTTGTAGTTTCTGGAGTGCCTTCAAGGGCAGCCCTACATAGAGCACATTACAGTATTCTAAGTGAGAGGTGACTGTGGCATGAATCATTGTGGCTAGGTTGGAGTGAGACATATGGAGACAGCTGGTGGGCTTGGTGTAAGTAGAAAAATGCTGTCCTTGCGGTGAGGGGAAAATGGTGTGGCGTCCAGGGTGATTCTCGGGCTGCTCCCAAGTTCCCCTGCCCTTCTGGCTTCCTTTGGAGACCCCCCCCCCCAGAACTTTGTGTCAGGCTCCTCCTGGATTTCTTGGAGGGAGGCCAGGTGCAGGAGACTTGTGTGGATCCCCCCCCCCGCAACGGCGGTTAGCGGGGGAGAGATTGTTCCGTCCTGATGCAGGAGCAAGAGGAGGAGCAGGCATGGTTCCATGCCTTGCACTAGCTGCGACCTCCCTTTTTAGACTTTGTTTTTCAAGTTTGATTTGCAACAAAGGTAAAGGCGTTTGTCCGTTTATGTCCTCTTATTATCTGTTGAAGACCTTCAAGGAATGACCCTTTAAGAATATCTCCAACTCTGGAAACAATTTGCGGCTGCAAAAAGGAGTGGAGCAAAAAAAACCCAAACGAAAATGGCAATGGTAGGGGAAAATGAAGAAACCCCAGCAGAGGAAATGATAGCGATAGACTTACAAAATACCGAAGTGGGACAGTTAACTCTGGAACAGTTCAAAGAATCCGTGATTAATGAGGTGCGACTGGCAGCAGGAAGCCTGTAAAAACATCATCAAGAAACTGCAAAACGTGGAACTCGCGTGAGGGCCTGCGCTATATCAGTTAATCCCTGAGATTCCCAAGAAAGAACAGGACGATAGCAAGAAAGAAAAGATACAGGATTCATCTCTTCTTTTTACAAAGAAAAGAAGAGACGGTTCTAGGGAAGATAAAGAATTAAAGAACTCTGTAAAACGCGCTGAGAGAATAGAACTTACAAAAGGGATCAGGCGAAAAGAGAAGAAATCAATTGAAAGAAGAGCAAGGCGTCCCCATAAGAAAAACCACAAAGAACACACAATAGAACTGCAAAACAAAAAAGGTGGAAACTGGAAATGTAATGCCTCGAGTATAAGGGGGCAAGACATTTACTTGTGATTATCAAAAAGAAGGTGCCCCAGAAGACAACACTGCAGTATGTACCTGGTGGCAAAATAACCTCTTCTGCCTGTTTAAATTATGAAAAGCTCAATGGTCTCTGTGTTGGAAGTTTAAGTATCGGGTAGTCTAACTGTTCGCATGTCTAAACGTAGTTAGCAAAGTTCTGTATACTCAGTAAATTAAATGGAATAGTTAGGGAGTATTGTTTCAATGTAAGACAACTGTTTCAATGTAAGAAGTTAAAAGTAAAAATATACAGACAATGAAAGAGGGATGAATTCGACGGGTTTTGTGTTGGAAGTTCAAGTACCGGGTAGTCAAGCTGTTCACATGTTTAAACGTAGTTAGCAAAATTCTGTATATTCTGTAAATTAAACGGAATATTTAGGGAATACATAGTTACCTTAATGTAAGAAGTTAAAAGATAATGAAAAAGGGAATGTGTCAGTGTATTTATAATTTTGTTTCCTTATGAATCTAAATGAGATGTAAAGTTATGGAATAATAGTAGGAATAAAATAATAGTAGTAAATATGGAGGTATAGAACAGGGTATGAAAACTGAGCTTTTATTTTGATGAGACTATATAGTATATAAAATGTATAGATAATTACTGAATTTGACTGGGAAAAGTAGGTTATCATTACTGCTTAGGTTGTTTTAAAAACTTCGGGAAGCCTATGCTGAGTAAATAGATGAAAGACCAGAAGGCTATCTGTGTTGATCTTGAATTAAAGAGATCTGGTATTGCAAGTAGGGAATACTTATACGAGGGGTTGGTAGACGGTCTGGTACATGAATTAGGAAAAATATAGGTTGAATTATGGTTAGAGAGATAGATATGATAGGAGAACACATCGTTAGGTCACTTCTGTTCGCTGAAACTCTTTGTAGTAAGAGGCGATGGTATTTTTTGTTTGTTTGTTTGTTCTGAAAACCAATAAAAAGATTGTTAAAAGAGAAATGCTGTCCTTGCCACTGCTGACACCTGCTTGTTCAAGGACAAAGAGAAGTCAAGCCAAACCTCCAAGCTCTTAACAGAATCCACCATCAAGACCCGAGAGTTGAAGGTCCCTTGGAGGTCGGTCCAGACCGTTCCAGCAAGATGATCTCCGTCTTAGATGGATTTAACTTCAACCAACTCTGCTTCAACCAGTTAACCAGTTTGGCCTACAAAAAGGCACACATCACTTGTGTTGTTTTAAACAGCAATTCAGAAATAATTCATAGTAGGGCAACATCTATTCTTATGTACTCGAGTTTTCAAATCAGACAAATGGGAATGATCCAAGGGCTCTAGTGGTATTGCTAACCTGTACTTTTCAGATCTGTAGAAGCAATGGACTTTGGAATCATTATATTTATAAATACAATCAGTGTTGCATTTTTTTATTTTCAGTTTTCTGTTCTTTTTGTAATCCCCCCCCCCCCCAAGCTTTTAATACTCTTGGGGGTTGAGATTTTCACGACTCCAGTGCATGCTTAGGACGTAGTCCTGGGTAGTGTAACAGTGAATAGGGTTTGTAAAGGCAGAGTCAACAATGCTGTTTCTGAGTTTATTTGCCCTTTGAGGACCACTGATTTAGAATACTCTAGGTGAATTTGGGCCTGCATATAGTTTGGCTTTCTGGTTTGTTTTCCCACAGAGTGAAAGAAGTGTACAGGTTAGAGGACATGGAAAAGATTTTCCTAAGGTAAGACCTCAGAAAACATGCACTTCTAGGGTTTGTTCTGCGGAATGGAGAAGGAGGGCTCTGTTACTGTTTGAAAAGGCTGTTCAGAGAGTATTCTGTTAAATTCTGAATTGGTGGGGAGGGAGAGATGGTGGCCTGCCCAAAATATGCATATTGGCTAGGGTAAGGAAATTCGTTGGCTTGCTGTAGCCAAGTCTGCAGCCTCCAGTGTTGTCATTGCCAAGCCTGCAGAGTTCTGTCTCCTTTCCCCTCTTTGTGACATAGATGAGTATTGCATGAGTGGCTGCACACTGAGAACATGCTTGGCTGTCCTTTTAAAGCACAATGATGTTTTGCATAATGGAATCAATAGATTGTGGTGAAACAGTCAGCCATCAAAATATCCCGTTCTTTAAATCTCTCTGCTGTCTTGGCCTCCATAAAAGTTCTGGCTACTTTCCCTTAACACTCTGGATAAACTCCACTGGGTCTGCTGGACTGCTGTGCCTATTCTGCGTGTCTCATTGAAATAAATTGTTTCTGTAGTACTCTTTGGTGTGCAAAGTCCCTTTAAAGGACTGCTTTTATTCTTCCCAACTCTTCCTTTGAACTAGATGATGGTGGTTGTTCTTGATGGGGAACTTAAGTTGAATTTGCATTGGGAAATAGCAGTGGCTAAGTGGCACAGCATCATGCAGAAGCTTCTGGGTTCAGTCCCTGGCATTTCCAGTTAAAAGGATCAAATAGTAGGTGCCCTCTACCTGAATATCTGAAGAATGGCTGCTAGTCAGAATAGACAATATCAGCCTTGATAGACCAGTGGTCTGGCTTTTGTCATGTTAGTGTCTCATAACAGTAACTTGCCTGAACCAAGGACTTGAACCTAGAGACTTAGTTAGCCGGTAGGTTCAAGTTCCATGCTGCAGCTACGGAGCTGTATTGGATTTCTCAAAATCCATTGCTGATTTAAGATTTGCACCTATTGTGTTGCATTGTGTGTAAACACCTCTTCTCCTTTTTCTTGGATGCTCAGGTTAGAGATGAAAATCATCAAGGGCTCAAGTGGAATGCCACGGCTGTCATACACTGGCCGAGATGACAGGCACTTTGTACCCACAGGACTGTACATTGTCCGGACCGTCAGTGGTAGGTTCTCCTCTGAGGTCGGGGCATGTGTATTCTGCTTGGATTGGAGGTGGTCTCTTGCTTCCAGATAGTTATACTGACCATCTTTGGCTCTTTTTTGCTTCACTCTTTTAAAGAAACAACAACATATAATGAACAGTATTTTTATTTGAGCTCTTAGTTTTGTTGTGTCATCTGTGCCTGAGCATCCTGATTGAGGTAGCCTGGAGCTACCTGGAGTGTGCTGTGTAGGAGAAATTTGGGGAACTTCTCCCTTCTTGTGAAAGAACAGTGTAAGGCGCTTGCTGAAGACGTTCTGCAACCTATTGCAGGGGTGGGTCTGGGTCTCTCCCAGTTGCCCCTCTGCTTTTCTTTTCCCCAAAGTGCTCTGAAGTATTTATTTCGCACAGTGCTGAATTTGTGTTCCAATGCCCTTTCCTCCGTAATGCTATTCTAACTCTATTGAAATGGGTAGGATAACACAATAGTTGAATAAGAACATTGGGCAGGCCAATTACCAGTTTCATTCAGTGTCCTGTGTCCACCATCTGGCACATGAGGTTGAATTCTATGCTCATTTTTAGCTAATAGCCATTGATGAATTTGTCTAGTCATTATTTTAACCCATCACAACATGCTGGGACACTTGAGTTTCAGTGTTCTGCTGTGTTGAAGAACAAAACTTCTTAGCATTGTGTGAATTTCATTCAGTATCTTTTGATCCGTGAGGATAAACTGCTGCCCCTGTATACCTTTCCAAGCCATAATTAAGTTATTCATCTCTTAAGCCATCCCAGTGATGGGTTCTTGAGAGAAAGTAATGCAACTGGGAACTGTCCTAAACTACCTTAGAAGAAGGTGTGTAGCATCATTTAGAAATGTTTCCTTTATGAAAGAATATTTGTTAAATGGAATGACACAGTGCACAGTCAGCAGGGCTTTTGTGGGGAAGACTAATGAGCAGGAGTCTAATCACTTGACTGCTCATGTTTCCAGATTGTTTCAGCAAAATACACATGGATTTTGTACTTAGATGTAACAGGATGGATCCTATGCAGCATCTATGGGAGGCAGTGGGGGAGTTGCATGTTTCTTGTCTGGTTTTCCCCCCAGTGGTCACCTTTGAGCACCAAAAAGGTGATGCCAGGGTTTGGGAGACACCCGTAGATAAAAAGACACATGACATGGGCAGCAGCTATGAAGAGAGAAGTGGGCCAAATGCCCATCCCCTTCTTGAGTCAAAGGATGGTTCATTGCATGTGAAGAAAGGAAGTATAGGATCTCTTCCTTCTCTTCATTCATGCTTATTCTTCCGTGAGCATATGTGATGCCTGCTTAGCCCCTTGATTTAGAATTCTAGCTCATGAATTTAAACACAGTTTTTCTTATGTTTCTGTTCTTAATACGATCTCTGGCTTTCTTCATAGATCCCTGGACCATGGCAATCAGCAAACACTCTAACAGGAAATTTTTCTACAACAAATCAACACTAGTGTCAACGTATGAACTTCCTCCTGAATCTGTCTCACCATTTCAGTGAGTACCATTCAAACAGCTACTTCCAGTTTATACAGGAGGAGGAGGTGGTCAAGAGGACTCTGAAGTTTGCAAGGGGATCTCTGGCCCCATTGTGAAATTACAATTCCCCAGATTCCAGTTAAATAGGCTCAAAACTAGTTAAGCTTTGCAGTATAGAAATGTATGTCACAATAAGGACCAGTGATCGGTTTAGTGGTACTGGAAGAAAGTGGTTAGAAATCCAAGAAAAAGGCAGCATACAGGGTTAAGGCCTATGGGAAGGGGGGGGGGTAAAGAAGATGTACTCTGGATACTTGCAACAGTTTTTTGTACAACTAGCAGAGTATTCCTTGTTGTTGTTGTTATTGTTCAGTCGCACAGTCGAGTCCGACTCTTTGTGACCCCTTGAACCAGATCACGCCAGGCCCTCCTGTCTTCCGCTGTCTTCTGAAGTTTGTTCAATTTTATGTTTGTTGCATCGGTGACACTGTCTAACCATCTCATCCTTTGCCGTCCCCTTCTTCTTTGACCTTCTATCTTTCCCAGCATAAGGGTCTTCTCCACTGAGTGCTCCCTTCTCATTTGGTGGCCAAAGTATTTGAGCTTCAGCTTCAGTATCTGGCCTTCCAGGGAACATTCAAGGTTGATTTCTTTTAGGATTGACTGATTTGATCTCCATGCAGTCCAAGGGACTCTCAAGAGTCTTCTCCAGCCCCATAGTTCAAAATAATCTATTCTTCGGCGCTCGGCCTTCCTTATAGTCCAGCTCTTGCAGCCATACATCACTTACTAGGAATACCATTGCTTTGACCATGCGGACTTTTGTTGGCAGGGCGATGTCTCTACTTTGAATCATGTTGTTTAGGTTTGCCATCGCTTTCCTGCCAAGGAGCAGGCGTCTTTTAATTTCATGGCTGCAGTCACCGTCTGCAGTGATCTTGGATCCCAGGAACGTGAAGTCTGTCACTATTTCCACGACTTCCCCTTCTATTTGCCAAGGAGTAATGGGGCCGGATGCCATGATCTTGGGTTTTTTGATGTTGAGTTTCAAGCCACCTTTTGCGCTGTCCTCTTTTATCCTGAGCAAGAGGCTCTTGAGGTCCTCTTCACTTTCTGGCATTAGAGTGGTATCGTCTGCATATCTGAGGTTGTTGATCTTTTCCCCAGCAATCTTAATTCCCGTTTGTGATTCATCCAGGCCAGCATTTCGCATGATGTACTCTGCATATATATTAAATAAGCAAGGTGACAATATACATCCTTGTCGTACTCCTTTTCCTATGCTGAACCAATCAGTTGTTCCGTATCCGGTTCTAACTGTCGCTTCTTGGCCCTTATACAGGTTTCTCAAGAGACATGTGAGGTGGTCTGGTACTCCCATCTCTTTAAGGACCTGCCATAGTTTGTTGTGATCCACACAGTCAAAGGCTTTAGCATAGTCAATGAAGCAGAAGTAGATATTTTTCTGGTACTCTCTTGCTTTCTCCATAATCCAGCGAATGTTGGCAATATGATCTCTCGTTCCTCTACCTCTTCGAAACCCAGCTTGTACTTCTGGTAGTTCTCTATCCACGTACTGTTGAAGCCTAGCTTGTAGGATCTTGAGCATGACCTTGCTAGCGTGTGATATGAGTGCAATTGTGCGATAGTTTGAACATTCCTTGGCGTTGCCCTTCTTTGGGATTGGAATGTATACTGATCTTTTCCAATCCTGTGGCCACTGTTGCGTTTTCCAAATTTGCTGGCAAATGGAGTGCAGAACTTTAACAGCATCATCTTCTAAGACTTTGAATAGCTCAGCTGGAATACCATCACCTCCACTAGCTTTGTTGTTAGTAATGCTTTCTAAGGCCCATTTAACTTCACATTCCAGGATGTCTGGCTCAAGGTCAGTGATTATACCGTCGTGTTTGTCAAGGACATTGAGGTCTTTCTTGTATAGTTCTTCTGTGTATTCTTGCCATCTTTTCCTAATCTCTTCTGCTTCTGTTAGGTCCCTACCATTTTTGTCCTTTATCATGGCCAGCTTTGCATGGAACGTTCCCTTGATTTCTCCAATTTTCTTGAAGAGATCTCTAGTCCTTCCCATTCTATTGTTTTCCTCTATTACTTTGCACTGTTCATTCAGGAAGGCCTCCTTATCTCTCCTTGCTGTTCTCTGGAAATCTGCATTCAGTTGGGTAAATCTTTCCTTTTCGCCTTTGCCTTTCGCTTTCCTTCTTTCCTCTGCTATTTGTAAAGCCTCATCAGAAAGCCACTTTGCTTTCTTACATTTCTTTTTCTTTGGGATATTGGTGCCTTCTGTACAATGTTACAAACCTCTGTCCATAGTTCTTCAGGCACTCTATCTATCGAATCCAGTCCCTTAAACCTATTCTTCACCTCTACTGTATATTTATCAGGGATGCGATCTAGGTCACATCTAGGTCAAACCTGAATGGCCTCGTGGTTTTCCCGATTTTCTTCAGTTTAAGTCTGAATTTTGCAATGAGTAGCTCATGATCTGAACCACAGTCAGCTCCAGGTCTTGTTTTTACTGACTGGATAGAGCTTCTCCATCTTTGACTGCAAATTATATAGTCAATCTGATTTCGGTGTTGCCCATCTGGTGATGTCCATAGGTAGAGTTGTCTCTTAGGTTGTTGGAAAAGGGTATTCGCTATGACCAACGTGTTCTTCTGACAAAACTCTGTTAGCCTTTGCCCTGCTTCATTTTGTTCTCCAAGGCCAAACTTGTCTGTTATTCTGGTTACCTTTTGACTTCCTACTTTAGCATTACTGTCCCCAATGATGATAAGGACATCTTTTTTTCTTTTTTTTTTGGTGTTCGTTTTATGAGGTGTTGTAGGTCTTCATAGAACCGGTCCACTTCAGCCTCTTCTGCATCAGTGGTTGGGGCATAGACTTGGATTACTGTGATGCTGAATGGTTTGCCTTGGATTCGGACTGAGATCATTCTGTCGTTTTTGAGATTGTATCCCATTACTGCCTTTTTCACTCTCTTGTTGACCATAAAGGCTACATCGTTTTTTCTATGGGATTCTTGGCCACAGTAGTAGATATAATGGTCTTCTGAGTTAAATTCGCCCATTCCTGTCCATTTTAGTTCACTGATTCCCAAGATGTCGATGTTCAGTCTTGCCATCTCATTTTTGACCACGTCAAGCTTACCTTGATTCATAGATCTTACATTCCAGGTTCCTATGCAGTACTGTTCTTTGCAGCATCGGACTTTCCTTTCACCATCAGACACATCCACAACTGAGCGTCCTTTCGGCTTTGGCCCTTGTACCAGCACCAAAAACTGAGGAGCACAGTGTAACATCTAAACAGTCTATGTTGTGAGTGATCAGATGAAGAAACTTCCAGGTTCTGGATTCTGGGTCCTGCTACAAGAACAATAGAAGGAACTCCTACTTCTTAAACCTGTCTTGCAGTGACTGTAATAATTCTCATATCTCATTATTTATTTACTTATTTTTCATATTTATAGCCCGCCCTTCCCGCAAGTGGGCTCAGGGCGGGTAACAGCATTTCATTTATACAGTACATATTTCATTAATACAATCAAAATTAAATTTTTAAAAACATCATCCTATATATTAAAATGGTGGTCACAAGCTGATAACAGAAATAAATGTTTTCGGTTGTGGGAGGTTCCCTGGCCTGTTGGTGAAATAGCCGTTGTTAAGTGGGTGACAAGAATCTCAGGGAGGCCATGCATGGATGTCTGTTGCCTCAGTCAAAGGCCTGGCGGAACGGCTCCGTCTTGCAGGCCCTGTGGAATTGAAGAAGGTCCCGCAGGGCCCTGATCTCAATGGGGAGCATGTTCCACCAGGCGGGGGCCAGGGCGGAAAAGGGGCCTGGTCAGGGCAAGATGGACGTCTTTCAGGCCAGGGACTACTCGGAGATGTGGATCCATAGAGTGTAACGCTCTTTGGGGCGTGTACGGGAAGAGGCGGTCCCTCAGATACGTTGGTCCCAGGCCGTGTAAGGCTTTCTACCTTCTGTTTTCAGCCGTCATGAATTCTGCCACCTGTTGAATTTGATTCGTTTGCAGTTTCAACCATGGTCTTCTGCTCTTCAGTTCACTTTACATCTATCTGAGTCTACTGATGTAATATAAGAGTATAACTCTGTTTAGGATTACACTTTTGACCTCTAGTTCTTTCTAGCCCCTCATTCTGTCTTTATACCCTTCCCTAGTCTTTTACTTAGGTATCCACAGTCACTCCTAGAGACTCTGCCCTTGTGGCAGAGCTGTAACAGAAACGTTATCCCATTTTCTTTTTAGTTGTCACCTATATTCTTCTGTAAGAGCCAATTTCATACCGCTTTTATTGAGCAGGTTTCCCTGCTGCTCAGATGATTTCCATTTGCCATCTCTTTTGGCTGGCAATGATAGGAGTGTAACTTTGGCTTTGGCAAAGTTCAGATGTCATGCTCTTAGGATTAGGCAGACAAATGTGAAAAATAGTAACTCTGGGCTTAAGTACCAGTGGGACTATAGATTCTGTTTCTTTTGCCAAGGTGCCTTGGGGCATGCAGGCATTCTGATTTTGGCACAGGAACAGGCTCCATGCAGTTACTGTCACATCTGCTCTTACCCAAGTCCTGTGGCACATGCAGAGACTGTGAAGGTGGGTGGGGACAGACGTTATCCTTTGCAGAATGCACAAACAGCCTCTTGTCACTGCTGCCTTCTGCAGAAGCTCAGGAGGAAGGGAGCAAAACAACTCTTCCATTGCTCCTGCATTCAGTGAAGAAAAATGGGTGATTTCGCTCCCTTCTTTCAGAGCACAGCACAGAAGAACTCCCTATCCTCCCAAAAGTTCTCTGTGGAGAGAAGTTAGGGGTGGATTCCTGCCCCCAGCTGGTCTTGCTCTGGGACTGTATGGGTGTTCACAAGAGGGGACCTGACTGGTCTTTGTCACTAAACTTTCCTTGTGCCCTCTTACATGTAGTCATCATTTTTTCTTATTGCTCCGTATCTTTGGAATTCTCTTCCCTGCCCATACCCACACTGCTCCCCCCTTCTGTACTTTGAAAGAACGTATCATACTTTTTCTGCACAGTTCAATGAAAGAACTTTTCACCTTTTCTGACTAGAAGACAGTAGAGAGACTGGCAGCTTTTTCATCTGTCCCATTCACTGGATCATTCTTTATAAGGCAAGCAAGCCCGCTTCTTAGCTCTGAGTGTCCTGGAAACCCTAGAGCTCCAGTGGACTCGCTTTCTAGTTCCCCCTCTCTCTTGGTACGCTGGGTAGTGAGAAACTGTGGGAGCCCTTTGAACTTTATTTTGTCAGCTTGTTATGAGGGCAGCAAGAAACACATTGCTGCTTTTCTTCACAAACCCAGGAATTTACTCCCCTGCCCATCCCCCTGGGCATATCTCCTGTAACAGCATTTTGGCAGAAAACTTAAAAATGGCTCTAAAAACAACAGGAAGGCAAGAGGCTTATGTGTGACTTTGATAACTGATGCATTGCATTATCATTTGTGAGCTCTAATGTGACTGTAATTAGACGTTGATACATTTTCTTGTCACAATGCTAATATCACTCTGTTCGAACAGTGCAGCTAAGTAGGCTGTGAATATTAAATGCCAGTAATTGTTGGACTCGATGGCTGCTGTGTCTGTGGCAATTAGTTACTCTGTCCCCCCCCCCCCCCCAATATGACAGCAGTCTTCAACAAGAGGAAGAATCTGAGCTCAGGAATGGATTCTGGACTAAACAAGTTAAGCCATGAAAGGGGGTGGGGGGAGTACTGTTCTGATTTTTTTTTAAATGCCTTTGTCTAAAATGTCAAGCTTGAACAGTTCAGCTTGCTGCATTGCCTGCTGTGTCCATTTTATTTGCTGGACCTTTCAGAAGTCTCCTGTAAGACCTTTTATGGGCTCTGGCAAGGTTCCTTCATTTCCCTTACCCTCTTGGAAGCCTAAAAAAATTTCACTTGTGATTGTTTTTCCCCCTTTCTCACACAATAGACATTGATTTCCCCTTTCTACTCAGTGCTTTGACTTGAGGCAAAAATACATCTGTTTCTGTTAAAACAGCTTCCTTTTATAGACCTGACCAGGGTGTTTGCACTAGGAACACTGTAGGTTTGGATCCTGCAGAAATGATCAATGATCTTGCAAAGTTTGGCCATCGCTTATGGCACTCTAGTATAGGTATCAAACTTTTTCACTGTATGAAGGGCACACAGTGACTTCTGGTGGATGGAGGCTCCATGTTCAGCACCAGATACATTCTCACATCTGGGCCTGGCTACATGTCCTTTCTCTGGCTAAGTCTGCCGTAATGCTAACCACATCAGTACAGCAAAGACATAGCCGTAGTCTAAAGGATGTACCTTATCAGCAGTTTCCAGTCATTGGAGGCAGCAAGAAGGTAAGCTTGTGTGGGTTGCCTGGAGGCAGCTGTGAACACTGGATAATTTATAAAAATATGCCCAGCAGTTAGCTGCAGCCTTGTGGGCTCAGATTCCTGTAGCCAGGTTGAGCTGAGAATCTGGTTCAGAATTCACATTCCAAGTATTTTGACTTCCCTCATTTCAAAAACCTGAAAACATGTTGCTGAAGACACAAAGCAAGGCATTGAGCAGGACTTCCAGTAGGACTTTTTCTGTCCCCTGCACAAATCTCTGCCCAGAGCTGTGGCTTCTAGCCCCCCTCCCCCATTCTGTCTGTGACTCACTCCCATTCTTCCCTTGCAGTGAGCTGGGTAGTCAGCTCTTGAATAAGTCCTTCCAGCAAGGCAGTAGTGATTTCCAGGGAAAGTGGGATTTTCTCCAATTTCCCACACTGTTTTCTGCCTTTGAAGGTGAAATCGACTTTGCACTGGACTCTGCTTGTGCTGAGCAATTGGGGGGGGGGGGAATAGAGAAAAACCATCTGATCCGTGTCAGTCGAGCGCCCTGTTCACTTTTCCATATCCACAATGGCAACAAAGGGAGAAGAGAATCATTGCTTGGGAAGTGTCTGTTGCAAAATATTTAAATGTTACAATCAGAAAAAAGTGTTAAATTTGTAGAATGTCATATACAGTATTTAAGTCTCTTTGAATACTAATTATAGATTTTCTTTTGGCATCCAGCTCCATTTTAAAAACCCAAAAGATTATTAAGCATGTAATGTAAGCTTCTTGAAGATCCTTCTGCATTTTATGCGAGGGTGGGTGTGCACACATACTGCAGTGCCTTTGAAAAGTGCATTTGGATAGTTTGTGAAGGTAGATGCCAACAGCTGCCTTATTCTGAATCAAGAACATCTAACTTGGTATGATTTGTGCTGCTTTCCAGGGACAGGAGTTGAGTTAGGGACCTTAGTATCTACAGTGCTTCCTTTCTTATTGCCTGGGCTGGCTTTCTATGCTGATTTCTGTCTTCTTTGTCCACAGCATTTGCTACTTCAACCGCCTTTTCTGGATATGGGGGGATGGCGTCAAAGTACATGACTCTCAGAAAAGGGAAGATGCAGAGAAGCTGTCCAAAGAGGCTGTCCTGTCCTTCATCAAACTCCATTCTGCCTCTGACCAGTCCCTCATCAAGTCCTAGGAGGCAGGGACTGAGCCTGGCGTGGAATCTTCATCCAAGGATTAGAATGGTTTTCTTCCAACCAGATGCAGTGAGCCACTGGAAGAAACTGCTGTCAAGCAGGGCCAGGCCAACTGGGTGGTAGGGTGCTCAGTGCAAAATAAACGGGACAAGGTTTCAGACTGCGATACAGCACTGTACATAAGTATTTGTTCCTGGCAGCATCTGCTTCAAGGGAGCACAAGAGATGTGACTCCTGGAGCAGAGGACATTCTTCTGGATTGATCCCCACCGTCCTTGCTTAGGCTTTTTCAACTCATGCTTTGAACATAGCCTGGCTTGTGGCCCCCATGTAACAGGTAACACAGCAAACAAGAGGACATGCACTGCTCTTCAGTAGCACCTGTAATTGTGGAGGACTGTGTCACTGCAGCCAGTGTTGTTCAAAGGGATGTGGCCAGAAGACAGAGTATATTTCGAACAGCTTCACTTTGGCTCATGATGCCTTTCTGTGTGAGGAGCCTCTAGTGCAAGTGATACATTGGGAAGTTGTCCCTTGCACTGTCTCCTTGGCTTATGGCCCCGGCCTGGGGAGTTTTGGGTGCTGGTGTCTAAGTGAGCAGAAGTCAGGCAAACATCGATAGTAACAGCTTAGGTAGCAGTGACTCTGCCTCAAGTGGAATGTCATGGTTCTATGCAAATATACAAGGCTGCTGCCCTCAAGTGTGGCCTCTTTTGCCATCCTTTGGCTCTTGGTAGTTCTAGAAAGATGATGTCTTGCCTTTTCTGTGTGCTTGAGGCATGTCCTATGGCTTTCCCTAATACAGAAAGATGGGGAGATCTGAGGCTGAGAGGACTGGTGGCCATAGAGAGATTTGAGAAGCATGTGGATTGGCTGAAAGATTGAAAAGACCTTGATGTGAGCCTTCCAGTGTAACGCAACTGCCCTCTTGTAGAGAACTTTTTCTTCGTAATTCAAATTCTTAAAATAGGCATTAAAACATATATCTGTGGATCAAAAGCCTTGTCTGGAGTGAAGGCACAGAATAGGAGATCTTTCATGTTTTCTCTGATAACAGTGAAAAATAGCCCGTCTTTTGTGAACTGTCTTTTGTTCAGTATGGGCCATCAGGTGCTGGGAACAAAAGGCCATTTGAAGGTACACGGCTGTGCTTGGGATTATATGTAGGATCTATGGAAGGTATCTGCTTTCAGTTCTCTAATGGGAGCCAGTTGTTAATAATGCAAGCAAAAGGGTTCTGGCTTAGGCAGTGAAGTCAATTAAGCATTTGCAAGTTGGCAATAAAGGACAGTATTGATTGGGTAGGTCGGGTATTGGTTGTAAAGGTTGTGCCTTAAAGAAGTCTCTCAGGCCTCCTAAAGTGGAAGGCACCAAACAAGCCTCAGCCCCTCTCACACCAAAGCAGGAATTATGCAAAGGGACATGGTTTGTCTGTGAAGGAAGTATTGGATTCTGGGTAAGGTATGGCTTTACTCAGACTGGGCAGCACATACCCCTTGTTCATATGTAAACTAAACTCTTAGAAGCCTCCTTAAGTTGTACATAAGTCTTGTGCCCAGGTGTGGCTTGTGTGGACTAAATCACAGGTACAGCGAATAGGTCCAGTCTTTTGAGCCTGGTGTTTTCCCTGTGACTGTAAGATCCAACATATGAATGTCACTTTAGTTATAGAAGTTGACTAGTTTGACCAGTGTTGCAAAACAGATTAAAGGTCTTAGGTTTTTACTGGAAACTGGTACTAAAGGTAGTTTGGAATTGAAAGATGCTGTGTACAAAGGTGGTTTAGGTGTGGGAAGGAGGGCCACTTTGTAATGCAGCAGTATCATTGAGGTCCAGTATGTATTCACAAAACCATTACGTGCAGTCTGTTTGTGGCACGGTAGGAAATGTGCAGGCTTCAAGTTGAATTTCCTTCCCTGTCAAAAAAGGCTCTCTGTTCCAAAGACTGAGCAGAATAATCGGAGTGATATAGCTTGATCGCACTAATTTATTTCAAATGGGGCAAAGGTGGATAAATAACAGCTGATACCTGCAATCTGAACTTCATGGTGTTCATTTTTTTAAAAGTATTTTGTTTTAAAGAAGTTGAGTGTGATTTGAGCTGGCTGTCCCTGTGAGCTCATCAGAAGGCAACTTGTAAGACTAATGAGCATTCTGCTTTTGGTCACTTTTTTGTGAATGACAGTGGATACCCTTTTTGAGGCTGATTCTTAGAAGGAAAGATACTATACGAGAACTATATTTCTTCTTATATCAGTCCATTATTTGGGAGGGCATTAGGGGACAAAGTAGATTCTGAAATGCCTGTTCTACCATTTACCTACATTGTAACTATTGTTCTCTTGTGACAGGAATGGTAATCACTATTGGTAAAAGCTCTGACGTCATCTTGGGGTCAAGACCCTGCCATTTGAAAGTATACGAGGATCTTTGGCTTTGTAGAGGCATTTTTAAGAACCTAGCAACTGAAAGGCCATGTGCCTGAAGAAGACAAAGACTCTAATGAAAATTAGAACAGCTTAATCCAAGTGCAGGCATCACCTTATCATTAAAGGGTATTATAAAGATCAGACTGACCCTGTGGATAATTCAACTGTCCTCTCCTTCATAGCCTGGGCAGGGGGGAGACAATATCTCTTGTTACAAAAAATGTTTATACAATCTGTTCTATGAAACTGTGTATCAATTTCTGTTTGTCCTTCTTCCCTTTATTTGTCTCTGTATTGCCAATACAGTCCTGGTAATTCAGAAGTGGGCTTTGTTCTTGGCTTAAATGAATTTCCAAGCACTGTGCTCTGATATGAAAAAGAAAAATTGTGCTACGGACTGAACATTGTACAGAGAAATGGGGAAACTGAAATCTGCTTGAAATCATCTACTAGATCAGTGAGATTAATGTAGTGCTTTGTTAACTGTTTCATGTGGGCATCTTCTTGGGTTGCTGTATTCAATAGAAAAGCAATTAGCCATCTGGTGAAAATGCATGGACCAAAGTAAATGCAAAAGATTAACACAAAATGTATCTGCCATGACATCTATTCAAAGGACCATTGTTTTTTAAAATATATATAAATCTTATTCCATCTCTGTAAGTTTATGCAGACCCTGATGTATGCCCCAGTTAGCATATGAAAGCTGTTTATTGGCTGTTCTATGGAAGCAGGGTTTTTTTAAAGCTATGGAAGCCTGATTGCAGTGTGTGTGTATACACACACCTTAATTTACTACCAAACTCTCTCAATCCCGTTATAGAAACAAATAAGCAGCACAGCCTTCATAGTGTGTACTATCACTAGTTGTAGTGGAAAGTGCACTCAAGTCTCAACTGACTTACGGTGACCCCATAAGGTTTTCAAGGCAAGAGACATTCAGAAGTGGCTTGCCACTGCCTGCCTCAGCGTTATGACCCTGGTATTCCTCGGTCTCCCATCCAAATACTGACCATGGCCCACCCTGTTTAACTTCCAAAGTGATCTGACAAGAGCGGGCTAGCCAGGTCAGGGCTACTATCACTAGTTAGGCAATCACAAAAAAGGAGGGCAATGACTATTTAAACTGGTGGTATTGGCCAACCCACATCACCATCACTTCCCATGGTGTTACAGGGTCTTAGGCCGGCCTGCACAAGCGGCAGCTTAAGGAAACTAAGCAGCAATAGAAGACTGCTCAAGTCCCACAGACACTGGAAAGGAAGGGAGACTTGTTGGGCATGACTGTAACTCGTGGGCTGTGCTGCCCAGCACCAGCAGCCTGACAAGCCTAATTTGGCCTGAGCTCTTCAGGGTTGGCCATGGTCAGTACTTGGATGGGAAACTCAAGGCATACTGTGCAGAGGAAGGCAACGGCAAATCACCTCTGCTCCTCTCATGCCTGGAATACCCCATGGTGGGGGTTCCCACGAGTCAATTGCGACTTGGCCGCATGTCCTTCTGCCTAGTGCCAAAATGTAGTGGGGGAAAGCATCATCTAAGCAGGGAAGAGGATTTAATCTCCCAAAATGCCTGAGACACTGGAACAGTTTATTTATTTTTCGTATTTGTATCCCGCCCATCCCGAAAGTGGGCTCAGGGCGGGTTACATCATCTTTCAACAATACAATGAAGTTTAAAAGCACAGTATAAACATTTAAAATCAATAATTATAGCTACTGGTGAAAGTTCCGACCCATTAATAGTTGAGAAGCTGATTGTGCACAGGTGGTCATTTAAGATTAGGGAAAATGGAAAATTCCCTTATTTATTTAGTTAATTTATCTAAACATTTATACTTCACCACCACCCACAGAAGCTCATTCAAATTACTCTCTTTGGACTGAAGGGCTTCCGTCAAACGTGAGCCTTGTCTCCAAACCTGCTGTTGCTTTATTCATTTCCAAAGGTGTCCAGGGTCTAGGCCACGAACGGTCAGAGTGTTGAGAGACCAGTGAGCCCCTGGAGAGAGGCTGAGGAAGAACACAAGAGGCTCCTGCAGTCAAGTCCTTAGGGAGGGGTCCGTAAACTCTGCTACATTGTCCAGCAGGTGTAAATCACCACCACCAAAACCACAAGGGCTACTGAGAGTGCTGCATTCTTGCAATTTGCCTGACGAAGCATTTTCAGTTCTTTCTCTGAATGAAGGGTGGGGTGGGGGGGAGGGGGAGAAAATACAATAGGTACTCTTTTAACCTCAAAAGTAAAAGCAATCTCATGCTTAAAACTTCTTACTGGTTATTAGGTTCTCTCTCAGAACTGGGATCTTAGACAAATCTCTCAACCAGTCCCAGGCAGCTGTTGAAGTGCAACCGGCTTGTTTTCCTCAGTGCCTCCTCTATCAACTCCTACTAAGGAGATGGCAGCATTTCCCTCTTACAAGTAACCTGCCTTCTCTTTTTCCGCTCCCTGCCTCGCAGGTGGCTAACTTCTTCAAGAATAAAAGGTTAGGTTGTGGAGCCTAGGCTTAGTCAGCAGTGTGAATGAAGGTCAAGTTAGAGCCCAGAGGCCTTGTTATAACCACTGTGTGAGGTTCCATTTTCCACTTGGCTGAACTTTTCATATGGTTTTTACAAAGAGGGAACAAACTCTTCATTTTGTGGAGAGGGAACTCAGTCCCCATATACAATCAGTCCTGCTTTACTGGTGTGATTTTCATAGACATCTCGTGCCTCCTGTTTGCTGTTTAATACTTAGGCAGGGAACAGAATAAAGTAAAGGGGCTTTTGCACACCCACCCAGTGATGTGCTTTAATTTTAACCCATGGTGACTATGACAGGAACATGGTGGTAGGATTGCCACACCTGCACTGACCCCTCCTGACAGATTCTCACCTGCAGGATCTACAACAGACATTTTTGGAATTACAGTATCCACCTTACATAGTAAGGAAACATATCAACAAAGCCAGAATGATACCAAGGGATAACCTGCTACAAGACAGGCCCAAACGAAACAACAGAACACCACTGGCAATCACATGTCTGAAATGGGTTCAATGCATCATTAATGACCTGCAACCTATGCTGGACAATGATACCCCTCTCTCACAGGCGTTGGGAGGCAAACCTTTTCCTGCCCACAGACAGCCTCCTAACCTTGAACTTCTCATCCATAATAATGCAATAAAGCACTTCCTAACAGACACAGATTCTGGAACCAGGACCTGCAACAAACCAAGATGCCAATTTTGTCCCCATATTCACTCTGACCACACAATCATAAGACCGTATTATCTCAGATTCATTCACTTGTTCATCTTCCAACATTATACATGCCATCCAATGTCAGCAATGCCCTTCCACTCGCTACAGCAGATCAGTCCCTATGCAAAATAATAAATGGACATAAATCCAACACTGAAAACCACAACATTCAAAAACCAGTGGGAGAACGTTTTAATCTTCCAGGACATTTCATTACTGACCTAAGAGTGGCAGTCCTGAAACACAGAATCTTCAAGGGGAGATTACAATGTGAGATGGCTGAACCTGAGTTCATTCACAAATTCAGAACAATTGAAACACACACACTCTTGGCCTGAATAGAGATATAGGATCCTTATCTCACTACAAGTGCTAATCTTTCTCCCCTGCTCTAATCAAGCTGAATACATTTTGCATCCTGACCCCTTTTCTTTGCAACACTCCTCCCACCTTCTAACTGGGGTATAAGGACTTGGGAGATCTCCATTCCTACTTGTATCTGAGGAAGGGAGCTTTGACTCTTGGAAAATCTTGTTGGTTTCTAAGGTGCTACTGAATCTAGCTGTTCTACTGCAGGCGACATGGCTACCCTCTGAAACCATCCTTCATGAATATGGCTAATCCCCTTTTAAAGCTGTTTATCCCTGTGGCCATCACTACATCCTCAGGCAGCGAATTTCACATTTTAAACACTCTCTGTGAAAAGAAGTATTTCCTTTTGTCCGTCCTGCATCTACTGCCCATCAGCTTCATTGGATGCCCTCGAGTTCTATTATTTTAGGATACAGAGAAAAAGTGCACTGTCCACTTTCTCTTTCGACATGATTTGATAAGCCTCCATTATGTCCCTCCTTAGTTGTCCCTTTTCAAAACGGAAAGGTCCCTGATTCTTCAGCCTTTTCTCACAGGGAAGGCATCTAACCCCTAATCATCTTGCCTATCCTCTTCTGTACTTTGTCCAGCTCTGCAGCATCCTTTTTGAGAAGCACTGGCCAGAACTACATACAGTATTCCAAATGAGGCCTCACCTTAGATCTATGTAGGGGCATTATAATATTGGTCATTTTCAATCCCATTCCTAATAATCACCAGTACAGAGTTTGCCTTTTTCACTGTTGTGACACACTGGGTTGACATTGTTCTGTGCTATCCGCTATGACCCCGACCCTAAATGCTGGCTATTTCCCAATGTTGAAATCTGTAATGCTTTGAACGCATTTTGAGAAAAGCAGCCTAAGACCTCAGTCAATCAAATAAATTGGCCGCAGTAGGAAGGCTGGGCAATTTCCTTCCAGGGCCCCTTAACACAGAGGCAACCCTGGTTTGGCCACCAGAGCAGCTCCAGGGTTTTCTAGACAAATTGTCTACCCTTGGTTCTTATCTATCTGGCTTCACGTCCAGCTATGGAACACAGAAAAGCCTCGGTTGCTCTGGTGGCTGATCTCTGTTTGCAGACTGATAAAAGGAATGGCTCACTATGAGCCTGCAGGATCTGTCAGCTCCTTTGACACAACTGATCACCCAGTTTTACTGGGGCACAACAGTATGATGCAGGGATTAGAGGGAAACGGCTTTAATGGTTTAAATCTTTATTAGTGGAGCTGTTTAAGAGAGCTTTTGGCTAGCTATGTTGTGTTAACACTGGAGCGAACTGGTGCTGTTTTTAAGCTATCACTGTGAGCCACCTTGAGTCATTCAGAGGAGGAGGATGGGCTAAATCACATCTCCCCTGCTGAGCATACTTTATAAGAGGTCTTGCACTGAGGTTATTTTCTATAATCCAGAGAAAGGAATTTAATGGTGAAGATTTACCAGCAGGTGGCAGCACAACTTAAAATAGCCAAGAGTAGGTAGTCTGCTGATCCAGTAACTTTCAGTGCTTTTTGAGACAACAGGTAAGAAGTGAGCATAAAGGTAGCACTTGCTCAGCTGTGACCAGTGGTATACTATTATGTCCCTAGGGGAGGGGAGTAATGAAGGGAAAAGCTTTGCTCCTTTTGTTTAATAGCATTTGTGTTCCATATAGAATTAAGCAAAAACAAGTGGGGACCCACAACAAACTTGCAGAGACGATGCATCTTCCTTCCTCCCCCCCCTTCTCTAACAATCTTCTCCCTCTTTCTCTCCCCCCCCTTATTTGTCAACCTACACCAGCTCTTTTGCCTCCCACCCATTCTCCATCAATCTACCCCTCTCCTTCTCTGTCAACCTACCCCCTAATTCCCTCTTTCTCCCATTCCCCTTATCTGTCTCTTTTGCCCCCCAACTCCTTCCCCATCAATCTATCCCATTCTTGCTGGTCTCCCCAGCTACCCCCCACCCTTGGCCCGCCACTCCCCCCCCCCGGGCACCCTTGCTGCTCTCCCCACATGCCTCCCAACAGGTGGATGGTGGGTGCTGGCTCGTGGGGGGGGGGGAGCAGCAGCAAGGACTTCCTTCCCAGCTCAGTGGGGGGGGGGCGAGATTCGCAGGAGGGGAAATCCCACCCCCCCTTTACTTTCTCGCCAGACCCACTGTGGCTTCTGGGCTGTGAAGCCTGAAGTAGGTGTATTCTCTGCACATGTACATAGAACATACTTTTATTGGTGGGGGGAATATAACCCCCCAATTTTTTTATTAAGTGTCAGATTTCTCTGCAAATGTAGGATGTTCCCCAAGGTTGCAGAAACATCTGTTTATTACAAGTGTGGCCATGATCCATGGATTTAGATATCTGCAGATGGGAGGCACACTTGGGAAATAGTATATATACAAGTGAAAACCCAGGAGGACTTGCAGAAGGCATTTCCCCCTCCTCCACTATTTCCTCTTTCCAAAAAATGAAAGCCCCCATAGCCCCTTTCCTGATTCTATCTCTCCTAGGGTTGCCAACCTCCAGGTGGGGCCTGGAGATCTCCTGGAATCACAACAGGCATTAGTTCCCTTTAGGGTTGCCAGTTCTACATTGGGAAATTCATGTATATTTGAGGGTGGAGCCTTGGGAGGGCAGCAACCTCAGCAGTGTATAATGCCAAACAGTCCACCTTCCAAAGCAGCCATTTTCTCCGGGGGATCTGATCTCTGTCATCTGGAAGGCCATTTTAATTCCCACAAAGTCTCCAGGAATTTTCCAGCCTGGAGCTGGCAACCCTAGTCAAGCCTGGCTTCAATGAGTTCTCCCTCAAAGTTCAAACTTGGTCTGGAAAGGACCCTGCCCTCTCCCCCTGCCTTTTACTCACTGAAATGCAGCCTGGAATACTGTAGTTGCCTAGCAACAGTCACTGAGGGAATCCCTTGCTTAAAGCTACAGGCCCTCCTTTTATCATCACACATTTTTTAAAAAAACCAATGTATTTTGTTTTTTTAGAGTTCAGATCTTTCTGCAAACCTGGGACCCTTTTTAGGTTTGTAGAAAGATCTGTCTTCCCATTCACAGCTCCATTCACCAGATTTAAATTTGTAGATTTCAAGCTTTGCAGAAAGGCTGGGCAGATAAGGGGAAAGAAAACATTCTTGCAGCATTTCACCAAAATTCCCCATCCCCTCCAATACACTTTAAAATAATAAAGTATAATAGCATGGAGACTGACAATACAACCAGGCAAAATAAATGAAAAAGGAAGTAACGTGCCACTCTTGTTGGAACTACCAGCATACTCAGCAGTTTCTGGTGTAATCATGGAATACTGAGTGCTGTGAAACCACCATTTTCCCCACAATGGATACAATGATGGGGAAAGACATTTGGATGTGGAATTTGGGACTCTTTCTTATAATCAAGCTGCATTAACTTTGTCATGGTCCTACTTGTCGCAGTCTTTAACTAATTGTTCATTGCAATTTTACCTGTCAAGCCCCCAAAGAAAAGCCGTGCAATACCTTTCCTTAGGACCAACCAAAATGACACAAAACTGTGCAAGCTATCGAGTTCTGTAGAACATTTCATCAGGCTGGTTGTGTTTTTTTTTTTTTTTTGTATTTTTAAGAAGAGGAAAGATGTTTTAGGCCATGATCTTCAGATCTGCCAAGTGTATCTCAGACCTAAAAATGCTATACAAGCCATGTACCTGGCATTCACTAATAGACTCTCTTGCTTGCTAAATCAATGGTTGTAGGTGCCTCCACTAAAAGGTCTATCCAAGTTACTTCCCTGACACACATCCACTCCTCTCTCTGCATAAAATAAGATAAAACAATATCACAAGGGGAATGTTCTAATCTAGAAGGTATTTTATGCTAGGCTTCCGTGTTTGTCTTGACACACAGCCACCATCAGTGTAAGCATCTCATTTTTCTCACCAGGGGGCACCCAAAACTTATAAGACTAGCATTTGTAAAACTGCTTCTTTCTCTTTAGAATCTTAAATAAATACCATCCAGATCAAGGCCTGCAGAAATGTATCACATGCCAGCTACCCCAACCTTCCAATTACTGAACATTCAGCCCCCTTTGATGGACAAGTGAAGTGTGGAAATTTGACAGATTGTCCTGCATTTCAGTTTAGTACAAGGCAATGTAAGATGGTCTTTCCTTGGGTTTAACAGGGCCTGGCCTCTCTGCCTGAAGGTATAGACCTACAGACAGTCTTATCAAAGAGGGTTAATGACCTTGATTAAAAGAGAATTCCCTCATCTATGAGAACATAAGAAGAGCCCTGCTGGATCAGGCCAGTGGTCCATCTAGTCCAGCATCCTGTCTCACACAGCGGCCTAACAGCTCCTGTGGACAGCCAACAACAGGACATGGAGGCTGAGGCCTCCCCCTGATGCTGCTTCCCGGCTCTGGGATTCAGAGGTTTAGTTCCTCTGAACATGGGGGTTCCCCTCAGTCCCCATGGCTAGTAGCCACTGATAGACCTATCCCTCCATGTATCTATCTAATCCCCTTTTAAAGCTGTTTATTTCTCTGGCAGAGAACTCCACAGAGTGTTCCACTTCGAAACTTTCAGCAAGTCTTGGGATTAAAAGCATCTTGTGGCATACAATAAATATTACTAAAATGAGAGGAAGTGTTGTTTTATCTCATGCAAATAGATTTCGTTAACGTCAGATGTTTATAGCCCCACTCCCTCTGGGTCAGCCTGGTCAAGGGAATGGCCTGGGTGAAGAGACCTCTCTGCTTTAGAGCTCCTATCAGCCCCTGACCTTAAAGGAGCGTCATTTAACGTCAGCAGCCAGTCACAGGACTGGGATGGTAATAATGACCTGTTCCGTTTGTACTTAAAGCTGTTAGAGAATGCTCAGCACTTTTTCTAAACAGTCAAAGCACACAAACACTGAAATATCTGATGAAAGGAGCTTTGACGCTCAAACACTCATACCACGGAAATCTTGTGCATCTCTAAGGTGCTGCTGTACTTAATTCTAACTGTTCTACTGCGGAACAACACTGCTAACACTCCAGCAGCACTTCTGTCTCTTTCTATGACTGATATGCTCTATTTATCTGCTACTCCTCACTCCCTTTTACTTCACTGAGTTAAAATATGGAATGCTCCTCTTTTAAAAAATAGCTTCCAGCAAAGCTACATGATCTAAATGGAATTATATACAGTTTGAAAGTTATTGCCAAAAGTGTGTGTTCTTGTTGTGGAACAGTTTAACATTCTGTGGCCCAAACCACCAGGAGTGCTGCAAAACCCTGTTTAGGGTCTATTAAAGACCACTGTCCCCAAACTCAAGAGCAGAGGAATTAATTGTTTCAGATTTATCCCCCCTCGCTTCCCTGTGTCTGATTTTAGGGTGCAATCCGAGGCATAACAGTATCTCAGGTGACTTCCTTCATGCACTTACCATAGTTTTCAGCTTGGGCTGCTAGCAGGTTTTTCTCCATCTCCAGTGACTTTCTGCAAGGATGCAAGGAAGGCTGTTAGATGCTCTGGGGGGAAACAGACACTCCAAAAAGAGCCTTTCCCTCTCGCCACCCCTGCCTTTGTGGTCTACTCTGGTACAGACTTTGTGGTCTACTCTGGTACAGTCGTTCAGATACAGCTTTACCACTTTGTCTGCTGTTAGAAAGACCTAGGCCTTTCAGAGGCTTCTACAACAAATGTAAGGGTGGCAAGGAGCTCCGTTAATGCATGAGCTCATTAACATTTGAACTGGTCTTTGGAGCAGCTCTCTTGAGGAAATATTCTTACCCTTTGCTCTTGTGTGTAAGAATCAGTGTCTCGGACTTGGAGCTGCTTCACACAATATGAAATTTCAAGTACAAAAGTTACTTCTGTGTGGGAAAGGCCTGAATCTAATGTGTGATTCATCATAAGCAATGAACAGAAATGCACCCCCTATTTCACCAACGCTGTATCTTCGTGGTGGGAAGCAGGCCTCATTTCAGTAGAAGATCTAGTGAAGCAGTCGTAGTATTTTGCTCCCTTTTGCTTTCCAAGGAGAAGAACAAACCCAAAGCTTGTGTTGTTAGCTGTGCAAGATGATTAATTAATCCATAGTTTAAAAGCATAAGAACAAAACAAATTACCCCAAAGCAGCACCTGCAGCAACGGTTCCATTACAGCACAGAGGACACGGCAGCTTCCGTGTGGCTGGAAATAAACATGCACCAGCAAATTATCTGCCAGTTCCGAGCAGGCTCTGTGGGATAGCGGGGAAAGGCAGTGAGCGTAATAGGGTTTGTTGTTTCCCTGGAGAGCAAAGCAGCAGCCTGGGTGGAAACTGAGCCAAAGCAAACTGCAGAGCGAGTTAAGGGAAGAACGTAGGATGCGTTAGCGTTGGGTAAAGCAAAAGAAGAAGGAGTCTTAGAAGTACTTCAGAGGAAGAGGAAATAGAGACATCAAGGTGTTAGGAAAAGCCAAATTCAGCACATTTTAAAGCAGTACTGAACTGCTACTGTGTGGGAGGGGAGGGGAAACCTTGGAACCATTACACAAGGGAAGGCCTTAGGGATTAGAAAGAAATGGAGCCAACCAATCCAGCTGGAAGCCAAAGCCTCTAGCGCTCTCCCATGTAGACTGTGTGTTCACTGAAGGTGGAAGGGATGTTACCAGAGAGATGGAGTTGCTGCTACTGTGCCAAGTGTCTTTCCCCACCCACTCCTTGCAGCACTGAGTGTAATACCAAGAGGAAGACATGGCATCACACAACACTGCTCAGCCCCTGCTGCCAACAGGCAATAAGGTGAGGGCAATGACTGCGTGTGTCACATTCTCTGTTAATATTCTGAACAAAAGAGGGAACCGGATACTGAACTGTGGTGGCTGCATGTCTCTCTCCTTCCATCCTAACTAAGACAGGAACTGAGCCACAGGCAATAAGCCATGGTTCAGACTGTCACTACACGCTAAGAGGCTGTGGTGCTATGAAGGAGAAAGACAGAAATACCTGGGCACATCTAAAAGCATGCCAGAAGAGCTTGGGTCTTAATCACCGCACCTGCTGGGAATCCAATATTAATTACTAGACATTTGTTTTAAATAATTGAGATCCAATAATTTCATCAATGCTAAAGCAACAGCTATTTTTCTTCATATGCTTTCAGAACAGTGAAGCTGGGCACCAATGTCTGCACCTCAACAACAAGAGGGCCTGAAAATAGCTGCCTCATCTTTGTGAGGCACCCCCCTGCTTCTAGTCCACAAAGAGCAAAGATAGGCTTGAAAGGGTTGAGCAGATTAGGTTTGATGAAATTTTGGAAGCCAGAGGGTTGGTTGACAGTTACCAATGCTACACGTGAGGTGCAGAAGGCCACAGAGCAATGGAAGATAGTGGCCATTTGCAGCAGAGAAACAGTGCACAGTGCTTTATCCTTCCCCTTCTTTCCAGCTGCTTTCTCACAGCCAGGATTCTGGATGTGTGAGTGTTGCATGGGGGATGGGGTTTCCACAGAGGAAAAGCAAAAGGCATGGGGAAGTGTTAAGCATTCACCTTTTCACTTCCCTATTGCAAGTTGCCAGCCCGGGCAGAGGGTCAGGCCTAAGATCCCCAGTGATTCTGAAGGAGGGTTAGAGTGCCTACACAGCTCCTTGCCCCTCCCCCCATCTAGGAGGCCAAGAATAAATTATGCAAAGATCAACACAGAATATAGTTTCCCCAGATCTACACTGAAACCTGACTTGGCACTATGATGTTCTGCACAGCAATTAGCATGCTGTTGGTGCTGTATAGATACAGCAATAGATTAAAAGTAACCGTAATATATGAAGGCAACAAAGCCTGAGGGATGCTGCAAAATTTGGCATTTCTAGGCACCAGGAGATCAGTAGATAAAAGGCAATTCGCTAGGTTACAAAGGAGAGAAACATTACTTTTGTGTGGAGTGGACACAGTACTTAAATTTAACTAATCAGCAGTCTCCAAATGTTAATGGGAACACAATAACTGAAGTAGCAGAAGGATAGTCCAAAAAGCACTGGTGAAAAATGTATATTACGGTTCTCAGTATGTGCTTCTGGTACAGTGAAGGGCAAGTTTAGTTCTTCTTCTACTTCCCATCTTCACAGCCAGCTCCTTTCAAAAGAAACTGCAGCCAGGAAAAACTCACCAACTCTGCTCTATCCAGGGCCATTTCTAGTAAAAAAAAACCTTGCCCACCAGTGGTTTACAGGAGCAACAGATGTCTGCAGCTCCATAAAGCACTGAATGTACTCTTGGAATTCCCAGCAATACCTTTCCTCAACAGTCAGTTCTTTTCTCCGTAGTTTAAACTCCACTTCTTCCAAGGTCTCTCTGCACTGGGACAGCTTCTCCTCCAGGCTGTCTATCTGAAACACATAAGGAAAACAATCCAAATATTTTTTCACTAAATCTTCAGCATTTCCATCTTGGGGAAACAAGTGATTTTGAAGACTGGCAATGCTTCATTTATGCACCCCCCCCCAAAAAAAAAACAACCCTGGTTGCCAACCAATGCTCCCTCTAAGCTGTGGAGTCTTGTGAGCAAAGATTCTACTTTGTGAGCTACAGGCATCAAAGTCGTGAGTGGTTTGGCTACTGCATCCTTCCTTTGGTTGCCAACCAATGCTCCCTCTAAGCTGTGGAGTCTTGTGAGCAAAGATTCTACTTTGTGAGCTACAGGCATCAAAGTCGTGAGTGGTTTGGCTACTGCATCCTTCCTTCCTGAGCTAAGACAAAAATGCGTGAGCCGGAGGCTAAAAAACTGTGAGCTAGCTCACACTTCCTCAGCTTAGAGGGAACCCTGTTGCCAACCAGACTACTTTCCATCTAATACCTAGTAATTTGCAAATGTATCAGCGTATTCCAGAAAGGTGAAAGCATCTTCCTTCTGCAAAGAGACTCCAGGGCTGTGGTTTGGCATCATGAGCAAATCACAATTCATTTATGAGATGAAATGCTCAGGTTTATGCACAGAACCAGGCTCGAAGAATTTGCACTGTTGTGGTTCTGTAGTCCTCCCGGAAATACAGGCACGGGCCAATAACACAAGGATCAGAGAACAGATGTCTCCCATACAAAGAAAAATTCTTGTTAATAAAATCTTCCAGAATCCCTGTGTCAAGGGGCAGGTTAACAAAGGCATTAATACAACTTAATCATGTCCAATTTTTTTAAAAAAAACAAAAGAACTTAAAGTAGCCATCAGATGCCATCTGCAGTTTTTAATAAAGCTTATACTACCTTTTTTATACTAGTGGCTGCTTCATATTATACAGCTGTGTACACCATCACATCTGACCTAGAGAGATGCCCCAATTCAGCAACACGCAACCAGGCTTCAACACACCTAGCTAATGAGGATGCACATCTGGATCTACACTGTGATGCTCATCCAGGCCCCACTGAGCAGGATGCATGTATCTTTTGATGCAGATAAGCTATGCATCATCTATCTGTGGCTACTCAAAGCTGTACATAACAGGAGTTGGATCAGGCCAAGAGTATCTCTTTGCCAGAAGGGCATACCTTGGGAAGCAGCAAATGGCAGCTTTTTCAATCTGTGCATTCTCAACAAAATCCTGACAAAGCACCGCAGAACTGATATCCCCCCTCCACCACAGAGATTACTTTAAACACACAAGAGTACACTATCATGAGACTTCTGGGGAACATGGCAGCCTGATAAGGAGCACTTTCAAAGGCTCCAGCCTTTCTCACTGCAGGGCGAACAATGCCAGGAAAGGAGGGAATTAACTTCTCTATCCTTACCTCTCCCCCATGGGGGAGACCCAACCAATCTTTTTCTTTTTATCCCTTTTCTTGTCTAAAGAAATCTGGGTTCAGTAATCTTTGCAATATTTTGGACTCCCGGAACTGTAATATTTTGGATATTTTTTGACTTCCAGAACTGCGATTGTAATTGAAAAGACCGGCAGTCTTCCATCAGTGCTTGAAGTCAGCTTCCAATATGTAACACTAAGAGAGACCTCTTCAAAAATGTATGGCTTGTGGAGCAAGGCTTCTGATAAACTTTGGTCTTTAATTACAGCTACTCAGCAAAAGATTTATGTAATCAGTTTTAAAGAACTTTATTTTGGCAGAGCAGCACTTGGCTGCTTTCCAAGAAAATCTCAGTTTCAGTAATAACCCATTCCCCTTTTTTCCATTTCTTTTCTGTACCCTCATTGTTTTTCTAAAATAATTTTTAAAGTGTATATTTATCATGTATCTAAAAAGCACCCTTAGGAACTAACACACACTTCCATATCCTAGACAAAAATGCAGCTGGAGCCAGCTTTTGAACCCAGACATGCAGATCCTGCACTTTCTCTAAGAAATAAGACACACATCACCTCTTTGGCAGCCTCATCTTCCAAAAACTGGCTTTGGAAGTGGCCCAGTGACTTAGCCCAGGTGGAAAAGGCAAATTAACTTGGGCAATTCTGAGTCCCAAGCGGATACTTTTAACTGCTGTGATCATCTCGTATTCAGCTGGAATTGTGGCAGGAAGCAACTGCCGGCTGCTTAAGATAGTCATCTAATTAGTCTGCTAATTTATTTTCTAGTAAAGTGGAGAGAGGGAGAGAAACAGCTGAAGCACAGGATAGCAGGTGACTTTTGGGGAAGAGCTGAGGAGATGCAAGGAAAATGGTCCCAGGGAACAAAGTGCTCCAGGGAAGCCTTCCTGCCCTTAGACCAGGGGGAAAACCCCAAGGAAAAGGGCACAAAGGTATCAGACAGAAGCAAGTGTCCTTTGCAGAGCATATACAAAGTTACTTTATGCTATCAGACTATGGTCCATCTAGACGGGTCAATGATGCCTATTTCGACAGGCAGCGACTCTCCAAGGTCACAGTCTCTCCCAGCCTTGTTGCCTGACATCCTTTTAATTGGAGAACCTGGAACTATTTGCATGCAAAGCCAGTTCTTCACTACGGAGCGATGGCCCCTCCCCATCCAGGGGAACTGAAAGGGAAGCCTGCACTGACTGACAAGCTAAGGAAAAACTTATCAGTCTGTACCAAGTCCCCTTCCAATTTCCCTTTCTTTTGCATGCCGTATTACACACAAGCAGCACGAAGCCAGGCTGAGAAAGACTAAAGGCCCTTCTGGATCAGCTCTCCCTTTTGCCGGACGTGATGCTGAATCCAGGGAGCTGGGAAACATTTCCTGCTATGTTCTCCACTACTGCATGCCCATGGGGAGAGGGGGGGAGAGATGGAAAGGAAGGACATCCCTTCCAATAATTATAGAAGGAATCAACTGTACTGATCCCCTGATTAACCACTTTACAGCTCAATTTCCAGCTAATTAGTTATTCTCAAATTCGGCTCAAGGTGAGCAAGCACAGTAAAGCCACTGGCAAGGCACGGGGGGGGGGGGGACACGAAATCACAGGTTTCAAGGGTGAGGGGTGCAGGAAACCAGTTTATGACAGCCCCAGCAGGTTACTGTGTATTAAATAACACTGGCATACCATGTATGGTGGTTGTACGGCTTTCTGACACAATGCACTCAAAGCACTTCAGACATAATATGCTATATAAATGCTAAATATTATTACTGTACTATGAGGCTTTAAAGTGCCACAAGACTCCAGTTTTTGTTTTTGGAGGTAGGGGGGCTGTCTGATCCCTACAGCTGTCAATCAAATACACGTTTGTAGCAAAGTATTATTTTATTGAAGCCATGATGAAGCAGGAACAAGTTCACTGTTTGGAATAACTACAACGGTCGGGGCAATGAATAATAAAACAGATTCATACTGTCAATAACCAATGGACATGGTTCCCGCTCGCATGGGTGGACTCTCATATTCGCGCACATAGCCTGAGAATCAACGGTTCCTAAAAGATAAACAATTAAGCTCTTCTCACACTCTAATTCATTATAGACTAAGCGAAGCCGACTCTTCCCCGCACCTGTGACCTTGCTGATTACTATAGTTCAAAGCAGCACTAGCATTCACAGAAAGGAATGCATGAGACAAGCAAACGTGCGATTCATTATGCCAGCAAGCATGCGCAGTTGGGTATCACTAAGGAACATTAGGGAGGGGGGGGGAACCCTAAACAGGGAATGTTGTACACCACACAGAGTTCTTTGGCAGCTCGCTGACAGGGGCTTGTTTTTCGTTTGTCTTGCAAAAGGTTAACACAGCTCTTAAAAGATCAGGAAGAACCTCACTTCAGCTGTGACTCCAGAAGCACAGAGAGTAAAGATAGTTTTGGCAGGTGCAGATTTTCAGCTTATCCAGAGTTTGTTACTTAGGTCACTGTATTTGTAAAAATTCCCTTATCTATATGTGTATTAAAGGTGCATGAACCCTAATGTTGGAAGCTTGACCATTCCTTCACATTACAACAGTGTAAGTGTGGGTGGGTTGGGGTGTGGGTGGTGTGGTGTGGTGTGGGGGTGGGCCTGGACTCAGAGCACTTGGGCTACAGCTAAAACTCACTCTCAAGACTACTGAGCTTCCCAAGGGCTTCACAACTGCACATAAAAACTCACACAGAATCTGAGAAACAGTAAGGATTCTAGAGGCTCCCCAGAGGCAGCTCTCCACAGAGTGTTCCTTGAAGCAGCTGTACATTTGAGCTTGCTGTCGATGGCAAGCACTTGCCCGTTACTAGGGACTGCTTTCACAAAGACAAGTCAGAGTAGAACACTGTGAAAAGAGGGGAGGAAAGGTAAGGCAAAGGGAATAATCATGATATAACTTTTCTACAAGGTATCTTCCCGGCAATCTCTAGAAGTTAAGATGACTGAACTGAGGTTATCATACTTTGGTCACATCATGAGAAGGCAAGGAAAAGACAATTGTGTTGAAGGCAGCAGGAAAAAAGGAAGATCCAGCATAAGATGGATTGACTCTATGAAGGAAGCCACAGCCCACAGTTTGCAAGACACAAGCAAGGCTGTTAATGATAGGGCATTTTGGAGGAAATTAATTTATAGGGTCGCCAAAAGTCAGTGGCGACTTGATAGCACTTAACACACACTGTCAAGGAGTCCAAGGCTGAACCCCATGGGTTCCCAGCGCAGTGTACACAAAAAACCAGTCCTTTGTAAAAATATATTAAGTTTGTTAAATACTTTCAGAAATAGTTTTTGTTTCTAGGCAACACAACACTCTAAAATCTTGCAGCAGAATAAACAAGAAAAGCTAACTTTTACTATCTAACACATTTATACCTTGCATTAGATGGCACAATCTTAAAGTTCCAAAAGGTGCAGGCAATGGCTCAAGTGTTCTCTATGTAGCCATGCATCACAATGAGAGCCCATCATAGTCCAGGCTCACCAAAAATCCCCAAAGTTAGCCTCCTTCACGCAGACCCTTAGCTCAATTATAGTCTTGAGCCAA